GTATCTCTGAAGACAAAAGCTAAGTTTTTTGATACAGAAATACTAATATATTCATCCTTTATATAATCAGGGAGATGTTGACCCAAATATTGATGTATATTTTCTCTGTTCGCCCAAATTATGTTATTTGCATATGCAAAGAAAAAAAAATTAAAAATGTTAAAAAAGAGATGTCGACACAAAATTACATAGCCCCTTCAATTCTGAAGATACTACAAACGAACTGTACCTTAACATTTTCATATCCCAGAAGCAAAAGTTCCCATGACGAATATTGCTATCGCTAGCGATTGCAAAAACCAACTTGTTTAATTATTTAAGTCGTTATACTCAGAAAACGTCCAAAGTTTGTTTTTGATTTCCATACGTCACTATGATTGTAGACAAAAAATCCCCAATACATCCGGTTGTTACGAAATCATATGAGGTCGGAGACCGAGTTAAAAGTACTTGAGGATTTTCGCCAGAGTGATGCCCAATGTTTCAAGTTACTCCTGAAATTCGAATGTATATCTTATTAATTTCAGGTATCAAATTATGTTCGGAAGCAAGAAAATTTTATCAGATCTTATCATCGAGAGCGGTGGAGTTTATACTTTGGTGCTTCAAAAAGTTCATTCCAAAATCGTAAGTAGCCTTTGATCTCACTGGTAGATTTGTATTAAAGATTTACCCGATATCATGATAGCATTATTCCAACTTCGGAGTGACATATTTTTACCTCTTGTTTGCGACAAATCCATGTTTGAAGTTCCTTTCCGAGAAAATTATCAATTTAGTATTACTACTGATCTCAATGTAGTTTTCCCCTTGGCATATGCAGCTCTCTCCCAACAAAGATTACATAGATTATAAGAGCTCTATGCGTTTTTTACTCTCGTTAAACTGGATATCCATGGAATTGCTTGCAGTAAAGGGGATTGAAATACTCACTAGGACGCATTTTCCCGTGCATAGTTCAGTAGCATATTTTTTTTCTTGTTTGCCACTCATAATTATCGTGACTTTCTGTTGAATTTTTGCATTATTGTTACTAAGTTCTGGTGTATTTTTGTTCCTATTTATGTTAAAATTTCACAGGTTGGCAAACTACATACAATTACTCAGCCGGCGCAATTGCACATATTATGGATGGTCCCTCAAATCATAGTGATGGCAATTTCTGAGATATTTTTTAGTGTCACGTATTTATCTTTCACTTTCAACGAGGTAAAGCACCTGATACAGTTAACCATTTTATAAAACAAAATAAAAGAAAGGCTTAATGTAACTTTAGAAATTACATTTTTCCATGTTAAAAAAATCGGATCTGGTTAATCAGGATACTTAAAAAAGTATTGGTTCAAAAATTCCTGCCTCAATACTTTTTAAATCCCCTCTGTTCTAATGAAAATCATATTTCAGATTCGTGACTGATGTATTTTGATTCGCTAATTTCGAATTTGATGTCAAATTGCCTGTATTTTAACATCCTGACCTATTAATTTTGGGCAAGTTTATGGCACGCTGCAGACCGGCACGGCGCGGCGTGCTTGCCAGCTTGAAACGCGCACTGACGCCTACAAACCTAAGGGGATACTTCAAGCATTGCGCAATGCGTGAAGTATCCCCTTAGGTTTGCAGGCGTCAATGCGCATTTTGCGCTGGCAGCACGCCGCGGCTCTCCCGGCGCGCGGCGGGCGGGTGGTGAACGATTTCTCGTGGGGAGAGCTCCCTGGCGGAGAAACTCGTGTATCGTGTAAATGTTTTTTAATTTTGACTTTTAAAATTACACACTGGTCGTGTGAAGTAATTAATGAACTCTCAACGCTAGATGAAGTGTAATAATGAGAGGCGAGTCGTGCGCCATGCGCGCTGCGGACGGCGCAGGGCGGATCATGAAATGTATGTGCTCTGTCGGATCTAAGCGGGAAATATTGAATCTTGGTCTGTTAGCAGGGTAAGTAAATTGGAGGTACGCTCCCTTGCTACTGACTATCAAAAAGCGATGAAACGCTCCATTCAGCTTTGTTTCAGTCTTAGCATGAAGTTAGGAATAAATGCCGGTTTTTTCACTCGGTTCTTATTGGTGCAATCGCTCTCGGCTAGAGGGAGCTTGAACAAATGAGAGTCGGCTGTGAAAATCTTTTCATTTTTTTTGGCCGTTCTTTTGTCGAAGCAAGCCTACAAGAGCGCGAAGCGCCCTCCGGGGGTTGAGCCGCGTAGCGGCCAGGGGGCACAGCCCCCTAGTTTAATAATGTGGTCTTTGGACTGCTCTCAATTTTTTTCCTTTTTTATAGGCACCAGTTAGGATGAAATCAATCATATCTTCAATTTCATTCTTGGCTATCTCCCTCGGAAATGTTATTGTAGTACTAATTTCATCAGCAAAATTATTCAATAGACAGGTATGTACCTCTGAAGATCATGAAAAATTATAAATTGTACAATAATACTGCGTTCGTTATTAAGCATGATTTTTTAAGTATTTCATTCCACATATCATTTCTATTATAATTGTGCCTTTCTGTAGGTAGTCCTGTACAATTTTGTAATGATCAATGTGTCCGTATAAAGAAACCAACAAAGACCATACATCACACAAAAGTTAATAATGAATACTCATTTTTAGTACTATCACTTTGAGGACTTTCAAGGGAATGGTATGATTTTTTCTAACTTCATGCATTTCAGCGACTATGTTTCCGTTTTGCAGGTTTATCAATTTTTGTTTTATGCCGGACTGATGGTTTTGAATACCGTTCTACTCATTTTCCTGTCCGTCCGATACAAGTACAGAGACCAGGCAGAAGAGGCAATCTCACCGGAGCCTCAGTTGCCACCAGATCCGGAGAATAAGACTGGATTTGACACTCCTAATGATCAAACGGGAAACTTAGCAGCCAACTTTTTGTGTCCGAAAGCTTTGGATTAAAGAAAGTAGATTTGCTCGAACTATCCGAGTAGGAGTAAAAAATTGCAACTTGTGTTGCTACAAGAAAATGACAAAGTGGCAAAAGCAACCAGTAGGATAGATTGTTACGATTGAAAATTGTAAATTTTTCCTTGACGATTAGATTTATTTGGATTGTTTGTGTCCTTTTTCATTGTTTGTGGGGGGTAGACTTAGGAGAGGGGAATTGGAAATGGAGATTGCGGATATTTCCCCTAATTTATAGAAAGTTCTAGGAAAAACGTAGGAGATTTGGTAACACTAGAAATTTTAAATCAGTGTCAGCTTGTTTAAATTACACTGTTAAATACGTAATAGCTGCCTGTCACTTGAAACCCGCTTTTCACTGGACAAATGCCACTTAAACTAGCTTTTGAATCAAGTTCTACCTAACTTTTTTTGGGAAGAGAAAGTAATGTTTCTTCAACACACTAATAAGGTGTTCGCTGAAAAAGCCCTGACGATCGATCCTGTTTTCATAGTATAGAGGGTTGAGTTGATTCACTCTAAAAAATGTCCAACAATCGCTGAAATAATAATGAAAACCATTGGCCACGGATGGATATAAATACTCATAAAAACCTCCATTCATAATGGCTTCGTTTCAAAAATTCTGCATTTTTTTTCTGAAGTAATATTATATGGTTAAATTTGCTTAAGATTATCATAAAATTTGAAAAAAAAACCGTCAAACGTAGTTTGAACGGAACAGTTGATCTGTTTTCCATCTAAGAAATAAAGTGAGACTGCACTTTGTTTTTCACAGACGAGGCATCGCTTTTTCTTTCGGCTGTAATGAAACTATACCATCCTGTATAATCAATTTTTTTACTCCCCGACTTAAAACAGTCAGCAGTACACGGCAATACTGACCATAGATCTCCTTATTTTTACCTATGATAAAAATCACTGAGAAATATTGTTCAAATGAGTTGGTGTCTATCAGGTTAATACCTAGAGGAGAATAAATCACACAAGCAAACTTCGAGACATTGAAAAGAAATTTCTATTTTGATGAGTCACCACCAGAAAAGACTGCTTTGTTAAATGCCAGTGGGGTAAAATAAAATCACTTTTTACTCAATCTTCCACGTGAGTGCGTATTAACGGCGTGAGCTTTAAACGACACTCTGTGTCACTTCTCTAACATTCTTTAAGTGACTGGATTTGCATATTCAAGAGTTTGACTTATTGGTGTGATTTAGATAATAAAATGTATCTAGTAATACCGATAGACTCGAAGTAAAAAGAATATTAATCATGAAAGCGGATGATATCACTTATGCACAACGTGTGAAGAGTGATTGATACAAGTTGCCAATTTAAAAACCAGAGAAAATTATACAAAATTCCCTAAGAATATATCTCCAAAAAGGAACTTTCATTTTCGGTTTTCATTACTTCTCAACATCACATGTGCCGTGCTCTATCTAACACTTCACGAGGATTATATTGTGAAGTTTTTATGGCTTTAGAACGTACAGACAACCTATGATGAGCTATATTTCGTTTTCTTCATTTGTGATGTAAACATATCGTCTGTAACTTTATGCGCTTCATAAAATGACAGCTGCCAACGGCCATGGTGAACGAGTTTCTGAAAAGGTAAAAAGTTAGCTAATTATAATACTTAGATTCTTTTAGAATCTCATCGGGTTTTCTACCCACTAAAATTAATTCGTATTTGTACATCTATTAAAGTAAAAAAAAATTGGTTTCTACGTATTTCTTCTTATATATTCCCAGTTTTTCTCTTCTTCACTTTCTTCCTCCGTACGTCAAAGGTGCTTTCGCAGTGCCCTCTGTCGCTCTGAAACTTATAGCATTCACTATCCCCCCCCCCCCCCCCCCNACTTTAAGGGAGTTGGCATTCCGTCATGTCATGTAAAACCCCGCGTCACCACCCTTTCACAGCGGCCCGATTATTGAAACTATGTCAGCCCGATACGACAAGACATATTACTATCTTAACCATGCAATATATTGCAATTCGATTTCTTATCGGGCTACTTTAAACTTCCAATAATCGGCCCGCTGGGCTCCTTTGCGTCTCCTCCCAGGAGAAACCCAAACAAGCTTCTCCTTTGGCAGCCTTTCTTTCGTCGTCTTGCAAACATGACCATCCTAAGCTGGCTACCTAAGCAACGAGCCTGGTATGACAGCCACTTTTCTTTTTACACATTATTAGAGTATAGAATAATAATAGTCTGTAAATGGCAAAAATAAGTAATTCCTTTAAGAATCCCGTTCATGATGAAATTTGTTTATTTTTTGCAGTCTCTGAAGTATCCAAAGTCTGTGTTCTTCATAATCAGTAACGAGTTTTGTGAGAGGTACTCATTTTACGGATTACGAAGTAAGTATATTGCTGTTGAATTTCACCGTAAAATATAGGTGATTTAAAATACAAGTTTCATGAGTTCTTTAAATTCATATTTATTTATTTATTTTATTTTTACTTTTTAACCGTTTAAGGAAATGCCCCTTTGAATAAATTACCACAACCACTCTCCAAGTTCATAAATCTTTCCAATTTTTAACCGAAAACTTCAACTAGTTGGTTTCTTGTTTGCCAATTTTTTTGCAGAAAAACATGAAAATCAAAACTACAACAAATTGATGAAGGAGCAATTTATTTTAAGTTTTCGAGGTCTGCTCACAGTTATTGCTTATTTGTAGTAGTAGTACATGTTTACTCGACTTCAAAGCAACCATTGGCTAAACGGTACCTAAAGTGAGGTGGAAACTTAATTACATTACATCAATGAATAATTCATCGTTAATAGTCTAATGCACAGATGCCGAGGCTTTGACTTGGACGTATTCCTACCAAAAGGAAGTATGTGCATTAAGACATGAGCCCTGAGACCCATGAGCATATCTGCTTAACAGGGCTCACGTCATGATGCACCTAGTTTCGTTTGATAGAAATACGTCCAATTGTGCATTTAAAGGTTGGAACTATAGCTTTGTTGGAACTTTGTACTAAACTGCATGACACCCTTTTTGTTTTTCAGAAATTTTGTCTTTATACCTACGAAACGCTCTACACTTTAGGGAAAGTGAAGCAGTCTCAGTTTACCATGGTTTCATGTTTTTCAACTACGCATTTCCAATTTTAGGTGGTATTTTAGCAGATTCCTACATTGGAAAATACCAGTACGTGGCCATTTTATTCATATACATATTATTATTATTATTTTTTTTAAAAAAAATCGCTATTTTAAACATCTCAATAAATCGAACTATGGTTATTCAGACTTCATTTTTGAGAATTTCCCATTACTCTATTTCTCTCCTCCTTTGAAAAAATTGAGATGACAATGATTTCAAGCAAATCTAGTCTTAATGATACTCTGTGAAAAATCTACTCCCACGTTTCAATTTTCAAGCATCAAAAAGTCAGTTTGAACTTTCTTTTCACCATGAGGAAATCGGAAATATCTCAATTTCTTAAAATACTGCACGTTTGCGCCTTGTCCTCCAAGCCTTTCATATCGCATAGTTGCTCAGATGAAAAACTTGTTCTCTATATCACAAAGTGTACTAGATTGGATTTACTTTAAGCCAATGTGCATTGTGGAATTCTGTCTATGAGCATCTCTTCTCATCATACTGTATTTCCCCCTCCTCTTTTTTATTGCAGAACTATTATTTATTCATCGATAGTACACACTGTGGGAAACTTGACCGTAGCGCTTGCATCAACCCCATGGATATCATCTTCAAGGTATTTATGTCATAGGGCTGTAGCACAAATTGTCTCCTTAGTTCATTTTTTCGAAGTAGGGGGAAATGAATATGTAAAGGGTTTTCCATTGTTCAGGAAATTAAATTTTATCTGGAAAAACGACTTTCAAAGTTGGCAAAAATTATTCTCCATTTCAAACGGAAAAGTAGCGTGGAGGGAATTTCCAGCTTATGCAAAATGACGATCGAACATTATATCTTAGAGATTCTTAGACATCAATTTTATCCACAACTTTGACATTTTCTCCAGATTTGGACGTATTTATGCCAGAAGGAACTATGTCTCGCGCAATTCCCATGCACATAGTTTCTTTTAACACAAACATGTCTATTTTTATATCATTTTGACCAATTTACTTACTTTCATAAATTATTTATTGCATCATTAAAAAGAAGCGCATTTATATTGTTTTTTGAAATTTGAAAAAAAAAAACAACTGTAGACTTCTAAAAATAATAAAACTTCGGAGTTGGGACCCTTACCCTGCTTCTGTGCCGGACTATAACAGTAAAAGCTAATACAAAAATTATAAATTCGTCGTGTTAAAGGTACAAAAACGTAACTCAATTTTGACATTCTTAAGTGTTCACTTCCAAATTGTATTTTAATTCAAGGGGGGTATTGATAAGAGGCGTTTTTGGGCCCACCCTGAATTTCCTCAAACCACGATTTTTTGCTCTTTAAGGGTCTATGTTTTACGTAATATATCCTAATTTGTTCATTTCCGGTCTCTTTTCGGGTCTAATACTGGTCTGAAAATGTATGTCCGAAGGCCGAGTCTGACTGAAAATTCGAATGATGTCTGTTTGCGGTCGAATGCCGAAAAATCCGCATTGTTCGCAAAAATCGGCCTTCAGGCTCAAGTAGGCCCGTATTAAATCTGAAAAGAGACTGGAAATAACTAAATAATGATGCACTCCGTAAATATGTAACCTTCTATAAGCACAAAATCGTAGGTTCTAGGAATTTCAGCAAATGTAGGTCGGAAAGCGCCTTTAACGCTACCCCTCCTTTCATTTCCAAAATTTCAGTAGGTTTTCTTCCGATTATACGCAAATCAGAAAAAAATGCAGGGTCATATTTTTATATTAAATCCAGTTGTTTCAGTCGATTCTACGAAAATTTAATGAAGTTACGACTCTCTTCCTCTAGACTTTGTACGTTCGTTGGACTAATATTGGTGGCAACAGGAGCTGGTTTGATGAAACCATGTATAAGCACATTAGGCGGAGAGCAGTTTGTACTCCCGCAGCAAGCAAAACAGATGGCGACTTTTTTTTCAGTATTTTACTTCAGCATTAACGTAGGGTCACTTTTAGCCTCCATCGTGGCTCCTTTTCTGAGGCAGGATGTCAAATGCCTCGGTCAGCCGTCCTGCTACCCTCTTGCATTTGGAGTTCCTGCTTTCCTCATGTTCTTGGCTCTTGGTAAGCATTGCCGATTCTCGTTACTGCGGTAACACTGTTTTTCTCTCATCAAGATCCATTTTAGATCAGATCTGATTAAGAAAACCTGCCACGAATCGAGGAAAATTGTTGAAAATAATTTTTGTTTAACGGAAATAAACTATTTCCACTTTAAATACAATCTCTGAAAAATTTTTTTTTCTTTTATCCAAAAATTCAAATTGGTTGTATTTTTAATGCAAAGAAATGGTACTTCGTCATAGATAACAAGTTCAATTTTTCTTCAATTAAAACAAAGCCTTTTGAAAAAAAAATATGTTTCTCTACTCTAAAATCCAATATTTAAATTAAAAAACGCCTTTACCTAAAAAAAATTCTTTTAATCACAGATAATTTGTTTTTATTTTTTTAAAAAGTAGATTCTTTGAGATTTCATTAATTTTTTACTACATGGCTATATGCTGTGGTATTTTACAAAATCTTAGTCTCTGGTTTTTCATATTTGATGGTTTGCTCTTCGTTGGAATAGATTAATCATGCCCTCGCTATTTAAAAAACACAAAATTACGAGCAAATTACATCCGTATTGCATGTAATTTTTAAGGTTTAGCAATATAGGTACACGTTTGCAGAGCTGATCTGAATTGTTCCAGTGTTGTTTGTTTGCGGGAGACCTTGGTACAAGATGAAAGAACCGGAAGGAAATATATTGGTCGAGGCAATGAAATGTATTTTTGTGAGTGCTTCCAATTTTTTTAAAATTTAACATATTTTTCACTTATTCTCTAGAGAAAAGAGGTCCAATTTCTGAATTTACTCATCGGAAAACAAATGGACCATCTTTCTATCCAATGATATCAAACCAATGATACTTACTTTTACACTAAAATCAGAAATTGTCTTATTTAAGCTTTACAATCTTAAGCCTTGCCGACGTAATATGGGAATATGGCATAGCTTACAATCTGATAATTTCAAAGATATAATCCTCATAGAATAACTTGTTTTTGGTACGGTGGGTAATTCTGTAGGAGCACCATAGAAATATTCTGAAGATAATATTTTAACGCAGAATATAATTTTGCTGATACATAATTATAATGTATATAATTTGCGCTAAACTGGTAAAAGTTCTCGATTATAATACGTTGTTAACAGCCTTTTGTTGCCAAGATTCAGTCCAAAAGATCTCCACAACAATCAATAAAAAATTGAACATTTGACAAGTTGGAGAGTTGACATACATGATATTTCCTAAGTTTTTTGCTCATTTTTTTTTCAGTATGCTTCAAGAAAAAAGCTATCATGTGCAAAGCTGGCGGAAAAACCATCTTATTGGCTAGATTACGCAAAAGATAAATTTGATCAACGACTGTTGAAGGACACTCGAGAAATGATTCGACTACTTCCATTGTTCATTCCAGTGCCTTTATATTGGGCTCTCAGTGACCAACAGGTAAGTTAACGTCGTGGAATTATTCAATTACTGGTAAGAATATGTGACCATACACCAGAAATGTGACCTTGGTTAACAATGAAATCTATACTACAAGCTCCATGACCGCCTAAATTTGCATATATTTTTTTCAAAATTTTCAAAATGTTGAGAACATTTTTTTACTAGATTTCCAAAATTCAAGTTTTGCTCATCTCATGCTACTTCTCTAGATTCGGCTTAAAAAGTATTATAATTTGGTGTTATCATCTCAATTAAGTATAGTACATTGCTCTCATGCCCTTGGTACCCCACTTGCTTCAATTTTCTATTTTGTTCGTTTGTCCACCACAGGGGTCAAGTTGGATTTTTCAGGCGTCTCAGATGGATGGTGTCGTGCCGAACTGGTTTACTATCAAACCGGACCAGTTAGGATTCTTGAACCCTCTATGTATAGTCACCCTCATCCCAATTTTTGAGATCATTGTCTATCCAATGCTGGGGAAACTCGGTGTTAAAAGACCACTACAATACATCACCATCGGGGCGTTGACTTGCGCATTCGCATTCCTTATGTCAAGTTATGTTGAGTATAGACTCGAGGTAGGTCAATGTATACAACAATATGATGAAATCAGAGGATAAGAGCCCGTAACATATTAAAACAAAAGAATATGAGAGCAATACCAGGATGTATGAGTGAACGACTCAGTTGCGCTGGTCCCGGATTTTTTTTCTGATGCTTTATAATTGTAGATAAGCTAAAAATTATAAGATCTGTTCAAACAGCAACTTATTTCTATGTTGAATATTAACAGAGATATCGTCCTTTGAAAAGTGGGTTTTTGACGTCATCCACGGCTGTAGTGCATAACATGGTATGTACTACCGCGTTGGATGACGTCATAAATAGAGTTTTTCAAGGCGCAATATCTCGGTTAATAGTCGACGTAGAATGTTGCTGTTTGGACGGATCTTTTTATTTCCAGTTAATCTACAAGAATCAAGCATCAAAAAACGATTCTGTTACCAGCGCAACAGGCCCATTCTACTTCACTGGGTGGAAACAGCTCTTCCCCTAAGCAAAATCACAGAAACAATTTTTGAAGCAGGTGTGAAAGTAAAATGGAAATGTGATTAATCAATATGTAATTAATGTACACACACCAACAAGAAATACGGATCGCTGGCCGAGTGGTCCCAACAGAAAAGAGTAGAATACAATAGAATATAATATTTTAAGATGCCCAAGAAAATAATTACAAAATTGAGCGGGAGGGTTATTCTGCCATGCTAAAGAAAAGCGCAGTGTAAGCTCTAAGCCATCGCCAAATGCCGTAAGATAAAATACGAATTTTCAAGAAAACTTAAGGAGAGTTTTCTCCCAATTTTTTGGAGAATATAAGTTGCAATTTAATTAACAGCGTCCGAAAATTTCAAGGAAAAATGTTCATAAAGTTTTCTAAAAATAAATTTCTTACAAGGGGGAAATTTGGCAACGTTCGGATATTCATACGGTGTTCCTCCTTTGCACGGCAGTATTGCCAGCCTTGTAGAAAAATATCCCAAGAAGAAATTAGCTTAACAATGCGTTAATAATGCTGGCAGGGTCGTATTTAGGGGGTGGCCATATTGGCTGCTGCTCATGGCGGCAAATTTAGGGGGCGGCAAATTTTGACATTTTTTCAGATGAAGGTATAAAAAAAAATCGGATTCGGAAAAAAAATTACAAACTGGAAAAGGCCACAAAGTCTCTCATTTCCTGAAAGTAAAGTTATGGTAATTTCTGATTTTGTCGTCTTTTGGTGATACAAAAAGCAGCACTTTTATTCAGTCGAGTTAAGAGGGAAACCAAACACGCAATTTGGCCTGGAACGGCGCGGCGCACAGGGCAATGATAACGAGGACTTCACGTGAAAAGGAGAAGCCCTCGGCCCTCGGCCCTCGGCCCTCGGCCCTCGGCGCGGCGGTCGGCATGTAAGACATATTAGCGCCTACAAAACTACATGAATACTTCACGCATTGCGTCAAACACAGTGCGGTCCGCAGCGGTCGGCGTGAAAAGCATAGCGCCTACAAGACTGTAGGAATACTTCACGCATTGCGCAAAACATAGTGAGGTCAGCGCGGAGGCGGAGGCGGAGCCTAAGATTATCAACCCGTATTCATGTTTGTTCTTTCATAATTTGTTCGTTCATTTCTTCTGAATGGAAGGCATTGTCCACACAGATACAGGTTTACGAGACTTAACTTTCGCGCAAAGTTCCGTGAACTTTTGCTAGTAGTGTCGACAGGGCTTTCGCAAAAAAATGTGTCAATCACGAGTAAACGCGTCTTATGCACCCTTCTCCTCCGGCATGTTCACTTGATGGTTTTTATTGATGTTTCAAAACGGATGAGAGGAAAGGATCAAAATACAGGTGGCCCATGGGCGGCAAGTAGGTAAATCCGGCCTTGAATGCTGGTCCAATAATTATTCATTGTTTTTCAAATTCAATTTTAGCCGTCGTATGCAAAATTGCCTGCTCCAGGATTGGGCCAGTTGCGGATCTTCAACGGTCTCCCGTGTCAAGTTGAACTGGATCCTCCAATACATGGCCGCTATCTCATCCCACCGCTTGGCGCACTTCAGTGGACTGACATCCAAGTAAATGGGACTAGATCCCTACAAGAAAAACTCGTGTTGAGTCTGGGACTACCTTGCAACGACACTCATATGCCTCTCGACTGGACGGAAGAAATTCTTCTTTTCGAGGAGCGGGTAAGAATGATAAAGATGCGGAGAGTACTTTACGTGGGGTGAAATCATGTTTCCACTAGATACGGGCGTAAAGTTGCATTTTAATCCGGCAATTGTTGTCAAAAAATGGATTTTGAGTTGAGGCTTGACGAGGTCGAATCACTATGGAATTGAATCGGTTAGAATGGGCCCGACTGCACACCAACTCAACAATGGGCTACCGAATCATAAACGGATTGTGACTTGCCTGAATTTTGCTAGAGGTAAATGACGCGTAGAACATGATGCGCACATTGAAACTCGAAAAAGTAACTAAAAAATGGGAAAATATGCAGTTTGAAAAAACGCAATTTTCCCGCGAATGTAAAACACCCCGCTTTCGCGCCGAACCGAATGATGTCATCGTGTACCAATCAGAGGCCTGCGCGGGTTCTTCCGACTTCCGTCAAATTTAAGATGACGTTATCCTCCTCGTATACGAAAAACAATAGGAAGTCAAAACTTTATCTTGAGAATCAAAGAATCTGATCTCATTCATGCTATTTGTTATGTAGCAAACAAGCAACGATTCTGCATCAAAACAAGTTTTTACCGCCATTTTGGCGCGTTTGAAATTCCTACGAGTCTTTGGACTATTTAAAAGCAGCTTTGTTTTGAATTTTGACCCCAAAAATACACGATAAATCACCACGTAATCCACTCACCCGGTGCTTTCAGAATATTTTAAAAAGCACAAAGTTTTTTGTGAAATTGAGACTCCTTTTCCCGAATCCGGCCACACGTGTTTTGTTTTCACTAAAGCTACCAATCAATTTGCACTATTTCAGGGTTCGTCATACATTCTGGGTTTTTCAAGCGAGGTTGCTGACATCAAGAGAGTTCCAGGATTTGATGACGTCTCGAAATCTTTGACAAATGCGCCTCGAATTAGGTGATTATAACATCTTGTAAAAAAGATACTTAATTTAATTTTTGCAAAACTATGTTGAAACAATTGAGAGGGGAGATTACATAAACAATTAAATGCAAATCACGAGGTTTAGTACACAGGCAGAGAAACTTTGACATATGAACAACACTTTTTCAGTTCATTCTGGAGCATTAACTTTTTTGTGTGTGAGGGGGTGAGAGGGTGAGTGTGTGTATGTATGAATGCAAAGCATGAGAAATTTTCCGCAACTTTAGGATGTGTTACAAGACATCCACTCTGTAGATTGATGATAATTCATGTAACGTGAAATATTTTCTGATACCAGGCTTATTACATGTAGACATAGATAGTTAATCAAAGCAGAACATAAGTAAGGACGAGATAATTTTCCAAGCTAGAGAGAATCCTGCCAAAAAGGGTCAAGAATTCTTCTAAATGTTTCAACTAAGAGGCTCGTTTTTTCCTTTTACGGTTACGCATATAAAAAGTTACAAAACTCCTGTACATTCAATTCAATATCTTTTTTTTATAATTTTCCTACTGAGAATCTTGGTAAAAATTTGATATACGTTTTTTACTGAAGGGTAATTCACAATCTTGATGGTCCTCTCACGTTAACGAACCAGTACGAAGACACATTCAAGTTCCAGCTCATGACATCACAATTGGCTACGCCGCTGAGTGAAATTGCAACTGGCAGGTAAGATTAAGAATATTTGTTTTACATCCAGGAAAATAATTCGCTAAAATTTTCGCAAATATCCAATGAATCGAAAGATAGGAAATAACATATAATGTTGCGTTCGGCGTTGCAATGTCTGCGAAAACATCGATAATTCGCGCCTTGAGCCTGACCTGACTTTGACATGTTACTCGTTAATAAAACTGTACGTTTGGCGCCAATGCAGAGAGTAGCTAGGTAATGACAAGCTATCAGGCATATCTGTATTCAGGGCTTTGAAAAAAGAGCAATGCGGGACACCGTAGGGATGATGGTAAAATGTAACAGCAGGGAGGCAAGCACTCCCCACGGCACTGAGCAAATTGAGCCCAGCAGCCAAGCAAATTGAGGTACTTGAGATTGAAAAAGTTCAAGGGTGAGGGAAAGGGATGCTCTTGCCAAAACCATGCGAGGTTCTATTATTCTACTGTCCTTTGAATCTTTTTTTAAATTATTCAAGTCGATTATTATTTTAGATTATTTTTTTTATATTAAGTTTATTAAAATAGTATTTGAAATTTATTTAAACTCATAAAATCAAGTTAACACATATTTTTTTTAAAAATGAAGTGGATTAAAAAATTAATTTAATAGAATAACTCTATAAACAAAGTTTAAAAAAGCATTTAGAAGTAAGTTAAAATCAAGTTATTTAGTTAAATTTGATATAAGCTATGTAAAAATCGCCCGTCATTCGTTTCCAACGTTAAGTTTTTATTTCAATATGTCACTTTGATTGTTGCACACTGAAGCTAAAGCCAAAAAGAAAAGAAAAAAAAACCCGGATCTAACTTAACTGTAGAAGTTATCCATTTTTCCCTTTTTAAATTTTTAATATTTTTCAAAACGTACCTTTGGGACTCATTTTTATGACAGAATTGTTGTAACTTCGAGGTTGGCGAGACGAAAAATCCCCAATACACCTGCGGGCCGATTATTGAAATTTAAACCAGCCCGATAAGACATCGAATTGCGATATATTGCATGGTTAAGATAGGGCTATGTCTTGTCGTGTCGGGCTGACATAGTTTCAATAATCGCCCCGCTGGTTGTTACGAATCATACGAAGTCAGAGGCCGAGTTAAAAGTTCTTGGGGATTTTCGCCAGAGTGTTGCCCAATGTTGCAAGTTATTCCTGAATTTCGAATGTGTATCTTATTAATTTCAGGTATCAAATTATGTTCGGAAGCAAGAACATTTTATCAGATCTTCTCATCGAGAGCGGTGGAGTTTACACTTTGGTGCTTCAAAAAGTTCATCCCAAAATCGTAAGTAGCCTCTGATCTCACCGGTAGATTTATACAAAATAATTTACCCAATAGCATGATACCACGCCACGGAGTCACCCATTTTTCTTTTTACCCATCCTGTAAGAATAGACTGTGGGGCTGAAAAGCAAAAACGTCTCTACCTTTTCCAGCTTGTAACAGAACTTTTTTATGGTAACTAAAAACATATTTTGAAGCAGAGTTCATTCCTGCCTTTTAGCTCTCAGCCCTACCCAGTTTATGGCTCACCTTTTATTAAACTGAGAAAATTTGGCCCTCTTCCATTTGTCCCTCTTCCTCTAAAATTTGGTTAAAATCAGGCACCTCGTCAAAAACTTTCTTAATCCATGTAAAAAGACAGTTTTTGTTGCATCGATATATTTCGAATATTTTTGAACTAAAGTATTTTTTCCTCCGTGTAAGTCAATGGAACGCTCTGCAATAAACACGAAAAAACTAATAGTGAGCCCAATTATTGTAAGTGCAATGAATGCGAAAGCAAGGTCGTTTAGGGTGAATGGTCTCAATGGTTAGTTCTTCGCTAATGGCAGGCGCCGCGCCGGTCTCAAGTCAAGCGTAAACTTCGATTTGAAACGTTCATCCATCATATTTTTTAGTGCCCTGTCTCCAAAATTTGAACGACTTTACGGTTGAAGTCCTCATAAAAGACATTGTTTTTTGGGAAACGAAAGGCAAGCAAATAAGAGTTCAAGCACTCTTCAACTAGGTGCATTTCAAACCACGAAGTAGCTATCAGAAAACTCTGTGGCTCGATGTTTTTCGCGGACAAAACTACATGGGGTATGGTTAAAAGAAATGCGTCATTTTCAAATGCTGTCGAGATGAAATTCTCAATTTCAAGGGATCTGTTGAAAATATAGGGATCTATTAATGATTCATTCAGGTTTTTATAGTAAACTGGAAGCAAATATAACCCACTACTTTCAACTGTTTCATTTAACAAAGACCTCAGAATAAGGTAAGTATCAACCAGGCCTCTCGCTTGACCCTGAAAAAAGGGAACATTTTCAAAGAACTTGGAATATCGGTTTAAAGTGGAACGTGGCATTTGGATGGCCCATTCAGTTCCTGAGAATTCCTCTAATGTATCGACATCTGGATACTTCACGTAGTTACTCAACATTCGGTACATGCTATCTTGAAATGCTGTGACAAGGATGATCGCAGCGAAAGAAAATATTGTAAAAAGTATTTTCCCAGTCAACAGTTTACCGAGAAGTAATCGTGGTGGACAGCCGCAGAGGAAATAAGCGTAGACTGTAAATATAGCTGATTCTGTCTGAAAAGATTGTATGGTAGTCTCGTCGTAGTAACTTTGAAATACATTCACTTGTAATTTTAGAAACAAATACAGAACGCACACAAATGTCAATATCGTTATCAGGATGAGTGTCCAAATGATGGTTGAAAAACTGCAAAAAATTGCTAGTGGTTGGGGCATAAGCCCTGCACGAGGCACAGCCAAACACATGTGATAGGATTCCATACTTGTCGTGAACTCGTATTGAGAAAATAAGGTTTCACCGACGATAAGACCTTCTACTTCGACTACGATATCAATCCCAAATTGTTGCGCTTGCTTAAAATCCCCAATTTCGAAAATATATGAATCTCTAGCCGTTTCAAAAGAACAATTCCTTTCTTTCTCAACTGTTCCGGCAATTAGTGTCAAGACTTCAATCCAAAAAGTCTGCCAGAAATCGAACGCACTGCCACCGAATTCGGAATTTGAAGTCGGTACGAGAATTTGAAAATATCCTCCGTTTAAATCAGGCCACGAAAAGTCGAAATACTGTTCATCACGCAAACCTGTGAAATGAACGATTTTCCCCGTGAATGGGTTGTAAGCGAAACAGACTTCGGTGAAGCAGATCACAGATTTTAAACCTTTGAAGAAACGCCAAAAGAACTTAAATGCAACGCTTGTATCATCAAATTGATCACAGTCATTTCGAGAGCTTCCTTCGATACAGAATTTCCTCGAGTTCGTCGAATCACACACGAAAAATACAAGATGATTTTTGGAGCTCCAAATGTTGTGAGAATATAGCTCCCTTGTAGCCAGGAACGATTCCTGTGATAGTATTGAGCCGTGCTCTAGTTCAAAATCACGTATAATCAAAGGTGGGAAACTGATTGAATTGAAATTTTTCGATTCAGGATTCTCACCCCCAATTTTAACACAATGTTCGTGGACTCTTCTTTCAAAAACTGGCTGTGCGCTTGGACCATCATTATCTCCTGTAGCGTTGGAACGGTACAGAAAATGATCTCTAGGGGGATTAAGTACGTCAAATGGGTGTCCTTTAACCGAATCCAAGATGATACTAATTATGTCTGGTACATTTTCCACGAAAAATACCATATTCTTTGGGTGGGAGTTTTCGTTGAAACGTTCCAGATTACTAGAATCGTCTAAAATGGTCTGAATTGATGAAAAATGCATATTTTCGATCAGGAGAGGGACCGGTGGGTCTGTAACGTAATTAATCATATATACTAACGGCTGTTTTGACTCTTTAACAGTGTTTTCGCAAACTTTCAAAAATAGTGAATTTAACTTAGTGGCAAAGTTTTTTGAAGAAAATTGAAGAGTCTCAACATACTGCTTAGTCATCAGTGAATTTCACATTTCATAATCGATTATTAAGGTGTTCGCTGCGAACACCCTGTTTATCGATACTTTTCCATAGGTTCAAATGGCCGATCAATCGATAAATCGCAAAGCACGCCAAGCCACTGTATCGTTCATTTGAGGTTCGCCTTCAAATTTGCCGCATAGGCAAAATACCTGCTGAGGAGCGCGAATAGTTATCTATCCATAGAACACGCGATGATTATAAGCTTTGATTAGCTTCACTCCATTCGCTTTGACTGGTCCAATAAATGGATGTTGTTAACCAATTGGTTGATATGGTTTACTTGAAGTTTCTCTGTATTACCAACGATTCTACCCGGGAGCATTAATTCGAAAAACATACCAACTCATCTTGCCCCAGAGTTTTGTTTTACTACGACTATAAGCTTTTAATCTTTTAGCAATTTTCCAAGAAACTGCGCACCTCGATGCATTTGTTCATAACTTAGCAATCTCTCTAACTTACAGTTATCTGTACTCGAACTGCCAACTTAGACAAATAGTCATTCTTCATATTTTTTACCAGATAAATATATATCTTAATATTTTGTTTAAATCTCATGTTCAATGATAAGCTGCTATTAATCAGTGTTTACTCGTTTAATTTCTATGTAAGAATTTTTATATTATATGCTGAAGAAAATCTCATTTTCTCCATGATCCTCGCATACTTCGTCGCTCCTCTGTCAAAGGGCGTTTTGCTATAAAAGGGATTTGCTACTCACTAAGACGCATTTTCCTGTGCACAGTTCAGTAAAATGGATTGCATTTTTCAGAAAGGAACCATGAGCATTGCAATGTTGCTGAAATTGTGCAACTTCTTTTATTTTGGAAGAAGAACCTGATCATCTCTAAAAATTTTCTACTATACATGCTAAAAACTGCAAATTTGAGACAAAAATTACCACGGAAATTCCATATATTTGCATGACTACAGTAGTTATATTGCAAAGGGTGGAGTTGCACAATCATAGCAACATGGCAATGCTCCTGGTTCCTTTTTGCCAAATGCAATCCAAATATTTTTTGTCTTGTTTGCCACTCATAATTATCGTGACTTTCCTGTTGAATTTTTGCATTATTGTTACTAAGCTCTGGTGCATTTTTGTTTCTAATTTATGTTAAAATTTCACATAGGTTGGCAATCTACATACAATAACTCCACCGGCGAAATTGCACATATTATGGATAGCCCCTCAAATTATCGTAATGGCAATTTCTGAGATATTTTTTAGTGTCACATATATATCCTTCACTTTCAAGGAGGTAAAGCACCTGATACAGTTAACCATTTTATAAAACAAAATAAAAGAAAGGCTTTAAATGTAACATCAGAAATTACATTTTTCCATGTTTAAAAAAAAACAGATCTGGTTTATCAGGATACTAAAAAAAGTATTGGTTCAAAAATTCCTGCCTCAACATTTAAGCAAAGCAATGCTAGCTAAGCAATGATTTCATTTAAGCAAATTTGATATGGATTGTCACGTATCTTGAACCGTAGAAATTTGGGAGGGTAAGAGTTAGAGGACAACCAACTTGCCAGTCCCACATCTAATTAACTCGGCTGGAATGTTTCCTGGCCCAGGAGCTCTTCCATTCATCAATTCCCTAACTGCTTTGACCACCTCCTCAACTCGAATTTCCATTGAGTGATCCTCGACTATATTTTCAGCATTCCCCGTTTGAAACTCTGGTCGTCCTTCCGTCCATAATTTACTAAAATGTTCGTCAAGCTGTGAGAGCTGTCAAGCTGTGTTGGAGTGGGTCCCCCCAGGTAGGCGACGGAGAGGGCGTCCAGCCAAATGGTGGGTAGAGGGTATCCGTGAAGAGATGGAGAGATGCCAGCTTCCGGAGGATCTCTACCATGACAGATTCCTGTGGAGAATAGGCGTCTCAGAGTGCCCAAGCGCGCCGTAAAAGCGGCTCATACATACAAGAGTTAGAGGAACTAAATTGTATCACATGAACAGACGTATCTTGCATATCGCAAATTCCAGGAGATTTCCACCAAGTAACAAATAGAATTTAAAAATTAGCAGGAAAAAAAGGTTGTAACTATTTTTTTTTAGCAAATTGGCAAATTGCCAGATGAATGTCTGCAACGTTGGAATGCAGTAAGCTTCGTCTATCATTCCATCATCGTTCGCCTTGGCTTTCATCACATAGTATTAGAAAGAATATAGTTCTGTGATCATGAAGGTAAAAAAATCTTTAAAGAGAGATCTCTGTGATTCATTATATATCTATCTCATAGAACAAAATATAAATAAATGGAGGACACGGTTTTTCCTACCAACTGAGGTAGTAATTTAATAATGTGGTCTTTGGACTGTTCTCAATTGTTTTTCTTTTTTATAGGCACCAGTTAGGATGAGATCAATCATGTCTTCCATTTCACTCTTGGCTATCTCCCTCGGAAATGTTATTGTAGTATTTATTTCATCAGCAAAATTATTCAATAGACAGGTATGTACTTCTGAATATTATGAAAAATTAAAAATCATGCTGTCGTGCTAAGGAAGAACGCCGTATGAACATTCCAGAGTTGCCAAATTGCCCCGGATAAAGCATGTACTCTTGAAAACAATTATGCGTATTTTTCCTTAAAATTTTCAGTTATTTTAGAAGAAATTAAACAAAATTATCTGGGAAAATTGATGAAAAAAATTTACAATTTCCCCAGTAAAGTAAGGTTTTACTGAAGGAAATGCGGCAGTGTCTGAAGGCTCATACGGCGTTCTTAATTCCTTAGCACGTCAGAGTGCTGCGTTCATGATTAAGCATGCTTTTCGAAGTATTTCGTTTCACATACTATTTCCATTTTAATTGTGCCATTATGTAGGTAGTCCTGTACAATTTTGTAATGATCCAGTAATGATCATCGTGTCGGTATAAAGACACCCACATATACGATACTTCACACAAAATTTAATGATGAATACTCATTTTTAAGTGAATGGTGTACTTTTATCTAAATTCCTGCTTTTCAGCGACTATGTTTCCGTTTCGCAGGTTTATCAATTTTTGTTTTATGCCGGACTGATGGTTTTGAATACCGTTCTACACATTTTCCTGTCCGTCCGATACAAGTACAGAGACCAGTCGGAACCAGAAGATGCAATCTCACTAGAAACTCAGTTGCCACCAGATACGGAGAATAAGACTGGATTCGACACTCCTGATCAAACGGGAAACTTAGCAGCCAACTTTTTGTGTCCGAAACTTTTGGATTAAAGAAAGTAGCGAATCGCTCGAATTATCCGAGCATGAGTAAAAAATTGCGACTTGTGTTGCTACAAGGAAATGAAAAAGTGGCAAAAGCAACCGGTAGGATAGCCAGAAGCTACGATTGAAAATTTGTAAATTTTTCCTTGAAGAAAAGATTTATTAGGATTATCGGTGTCCTTTTTCATTGTTTGTGGGGGGTAGACTTTGGAGAGGGAAAAATAACATTTGCACTTCGGTTTCTAGGGTAGTTTAATGACAGTTGTTGCTGTTCACATCAATTATTACATGGAGGCTGGCGAGTTTTTTTTGTTTTTTTGTTTTTGTTTTTTTCGTTTGTTTTTTCAATTACCTGAACGATGGTCTTAAAATACCTCAGTTACAATCTTTGATACCAAAAGCTCAAGTGGTAACGAGTGCTTTAAGCATTCAACGCACCATCAGAGTTATAGAATAGAAGTGTGTTGCGGCGATTAAACAACGGAGCAATCAATTTCAAAATGATGGAAGATAGCTTTAGATGTCTATGAAATATTAACTTATAATACCATTCCTAATATCTATTTCAAATTCTATCGGCGACAAAGATACATAAAATTCTCAAAATTGATATCCCTGAAAATAGCGCAATTTTTTTTCGGGTATCTGAATGAGAAGAACGTATTCTATATTACTCGGACACTCCTAAATCCAGTTCATTCGCGGTTTGTAAAAATTCGCTTTTTTGATGCTACATGACCATGAACGTTTACAGTGAAGAGATTTCTCTTTTAAAAATGTTCATCAAGCAATGACTTTAATTTTTTCCTTCTTTAAATCTCCTTGGGTGACGAAACAATTGTTACTTTTAACATGAAACATCGATGATGATTTTTCCTTGGAAATTCAAAAATCACCTAGTGTGACAAAAAAAAAACAAAAAAAAAACTGTAGAGCTCCTTGTTGGTTCTTCTCCCGTGAAAATAATTATAAAATACAGAAAATCAAATTCGACACACGTTTCATGATTTGATTCGATGAAGTAACTGGTACATTGAGGGTGCAGCACGAATAACTTTCACATTTTCACAACAAATCTACGAAGCTCTCCGATATGAATTCTTCATTTTAATATTATCTTTATTCAATTTTAATTATGCAACATTTTATTATAAGTGCATATTTACTATTTCCCATGACATGTTTCAGTGAATAAGATTTATGGTTTAATTACATGCTACCTGCGATTAAACAGATATTTATTTTAGAACATGTAGAATTTTACAAACCAATAGACAAACAAACAAACGAACAAACAAACAAACAAATAAACAAATAAACAAACAAACAAACGAACAAACGAACAAACGAACAAACGAACAAACGAACAAATGATCAAACGAGCGCACGAACGAACGAACAAACGTTTAATCAAACAAAACAAAACAAAAAACCCTTTAATATTAAATTATTTTGACTCGGTGTTCTAGAGACAGGTTTCTTGATCCAGTGCAGTGACATTTCGCTCAGACCGTCATCTGATGTTTACTAGAGTATGCTCATGACATTTTGTTTCACAAAGTCAAAATTTGAAAGTTCATAGACGCGTTTTCTCAAAGGGCAACTTCAGACTCGTCCTGTTCAAGGGGTTTTAAAGTTTGATTACGCCCATAGACTAGGGGGGCGGACGATTCTCACAGCAAACCTCATAAATTTATTGGTGTATGTTTGACGAACATCGACCGCAAGTTCGATCGCAAATACGATGCAGCTTACAATCCAGCCTAAAAAGAGGCCCAAGAACCCTGACTACAAGTTTTGCATCGTGAAACACCGTGGCCTAGTTTCCTCATCATTGAGAATCCACAATCGTCTCGCGTTAAAAAATGCAAAGGCCCTTGTTGCATCATCCCCAAGGCCACTTTCTGTGAAACTAAGGAGTTTATCGAAGATGAGATCCGAGAGAAATGAGTTTTTCGGGGAACGGAATGCCATCACGTGGGTCAGGATACACTCCTTGACCAAATGATAGTCAATTATCTCAGGAGTATAAAACCCCGAGGCCTTGAAGTCTCCTTGAAAATCCTGGTTTAAATTAAGAACAGACACTTCAACTGCGTCTGATTCCATAATTGACAGCATATTAGAGCGAATTTCGGACGCTTTTTTCAAGAAAGGATCAACACCTCCATAGTTTTTACCAAGATGCCACAGCTCAGAAGTATCGTTATAGCTCTCACTCGCTTTTAGCAAAACATCCAGCCAAAGCTTCTGATAGAACGCGTAACTTTCGGTCAGTTTATTACCTATTGTACCTATGCTGTAGGCGGGAAACACTGAAGAGAGCGCGTTGTGCATAATAAAGCGCGCCGGATCAAATAGACTGCATTTGTGCTTCGGTTTTTAGAATATTTTAACGGAAGTTGTTGCTACCTTGGTAAAAATTGGCAGTAGAATGTGTGTTCCAAAATACCATAGACCTAAAGCCGGCTTTAGGATTTCCAATAGCTTCCGTAGCCGTCTGTACAATTTCTTATAGCCTTTTATAGTCGATGGCGATTAAGCAACAGCCAGACGATAAAGTTTATGCTAAACGTTACTAAATACGGACACTAGGACTTAATTAGTTTTTGGGCTACCGCTCTCTTTTTGTGCCACAGTATCTTGATTTATTTTGCGAGGAAAGCTCCGTACTTTTGAAGGATGCCTGTCATTCTTAAGATGTTGGAGCGCCTACAATTTCTTATGCTACTGTGCAATACCTCTGGTGTGAAATAGTTGCTTCAGGCGCCGCGCCGTGGCACGCTGCGGCGCGGCGGGAGGGCAGAGAGCGCGAAACGCGCGTTGGCGCCTACAAACCTAACAGGGATACTTCACGCATTGCGCAATGCGTGAAGTATTCCTGTCAGGTTTGTAGGCGCCAGTACGTCGCCGCTCTGCTTTTTGTTAGGCTCTAATAATTAATCTCGCGGAGTCAGCGTTTTTCAACTCATGATTTTGAAATGTTTGCACATCCTGTATGGATTATTCTCATGTTAATTGATGAAAACAAATATATATTAAAGTAAAATATAGTGAGTGTTTTGTAAATATTAAGGTGGTTTCGTATCAAACTTAATGATTTCCAAAGCACACGAATTTCTACACAATTTCTTATAGCCTCTTATAGTCAATGGCGATGAAGTGTAAAGCTCGACGATAGGAACTATAGCCCGACTGTATACTTGTTTATAGTTTCGTATAGCCCGGCTATATGATTTGCTCCGCTTTCTACAGCCAGCTATATGATTTTCAATAGCCTTCTTTAGTCGGCTATAAGAACTCCTATGGTATTTTGAAACGCAGCTCTTATCGCCAATTTTTACCAGATAGGACATCGATTATTATAAAGAGGCTGTCAATATTTTTTTTTAAAAATTATTTTAATTACCCAGACGACGGTTTTAAAATACCTCAGTTACGATCTTTGATACCAAAAGCTCAAGTGGTAACGAGCGCTTTTACCATTCAACACACCATCAGAGTTATGGAATAGAAGTGTGTTGCGGCGATTAAACAACGGAGCAATCATTTTCAAAATGACGGATGATAGAATAATTATAAAATACAGAAAATCATATTAGACACACGTTTCATGATTTGATTCGATGAAGTAACAGGTACATTGAGGGTGCAGCAGTGCAGCACGAATAACTTTCACATTTTCACAACAAATCTACGAAGCTCTCCAATATGAACTCTTCATTTTAATATTATCTTTATTCAATTTTAATTATGCAACATTTTATTATAAGTGCATATTTACTATTTCCCATGACATGTTTTTGTGAATAAGATTTATGGTTTAATTACATGCTACCTGCGATTAAACAGATATTTATTTTAGAACACGTAGAATTTTACAAACCAATAGACAAACAAACAAACAAACAAACAAACAAACAAACGAACGAACAAACAAACAAACGAACAAATGATCAAACGAGCGAACGAACGAACGAACAAACGTTTAATCAAACAAAACAAAACAAAAAACCCTTTAATATTAAATCATTTTGACTCGGTGTTCTAGAGACAGTTTTCTTGATCCAGTGCCGTGTCGTTTCGCGCAGACCGTCATCTGATGTTTACTAGAGTATGCTCATGACATTTTGTTTCACAAAGTCAAAATTTGAAAGTTCATAGACGGATTTTCTCAAAGGGCAACTTCAGACTCGTCCTGTTCAAGGGGTTTTAAAGTTTGATTACGCCCATAGACTAGGGGGGCGGACGATTCTTACAGCAAACCTCATAAATTTATTGGTGTACGTTTGGTAAACATCGACCGCAAGTTCGATCGCAAAAACGATGCAGCTTACAATCCAGCCTAAAAGAAGGCCCAAGAACGCTGACTGCAAGTTTTGCATCGTGAAACACTGAGGCCTAGTATCCCCATTATTTATAATCCATGATTGTCTCGCGTCCAAAAATGCTAAGGCCCCCCTTAAATCATTCCCAAGGCCACTCTCTGTGAAACTAAGGATTTTATCGAGGATGAGATCTGAGAGAAATGAGTTTTTCGGGGAACGGAATACCATCGCATGGGTCAGGATACACTCCTTGACTAAATGATATTCAATTATCTCATTAGTATAAAACCCCGCGGCCTTGAAGTTTCCTTGAAAATCCTGGTTTAAAGTAAGAACAGACACTTCAAATGCGTCCGATTCCATAATTGACAGCATATTTGAGCGCATTTCGGACGCTTTTTTAAAAAGAGGATCAACATCTCCATAGTTTTTACCAAAATGCCATATTTCAAAAGTATCGTTATAGGTCTCACTCACTTCTAGCCAAACATCCAGCCAAAGCTTCTGATAGAACACGTAATTTTCGGTCAGTTTATACGGTGCAGCATCGTTTTCTCGAAAGAGGCCGGCTGAAGTGTTTGAGTTACTTGTTTGAATGGACAAATCTGAGACCATTAGGGCCTCTAACGTGTCTATTTCTGGGTATCGCACGAACGCTGCAAGTAGGGTTGTAAACTGGCTTTGGAATGCTGTAACGATGACAAGGACAAAAAATGACGTGATCGTAAACAGTAATTTTCCAGTAAATACACGTCCAAGGAGAGGTCTGCATGGACATCCAACGAAAAAAAACGAGAACAGAATGAAGGTCACAGATGAGTTTTGAAATTCCCTAAGAGATACCTCCCCGTAGAGTCGTTTGAAAAGTGTACGTTGAGAAAAATTAAACAAACAGAATATGATGTAAAATCCCAAAACTGTCGTCAGCGTGGCTGCCCACACTTGGGGTGAAAAAGTCTTGAAGGGCAGAAGATACGGTGGGATTAGAGCACTTCGAGGGGTTGCGAAACATTGGGAAAAGGTTTGAAAGCTTGCAGAAAAGTCGAACTTAGTAAAGTCAGTTTCGTACGGCAAAATGCTGTCCTGAAAAATTAGCATATCCAAATTCGACCTGAGAGCGATCTCATAATATTTTTCATCTGTGTCTCCATCGCAATCTTCCCCGATCGAGCAATACTCATAAACTTCTATTGGAGTTTTTAATTCCTGTGCCAGATGAGCAACAACCTCTGACATGAGATTCGATGATCTAACCGCTNGGGATTAGAGCACTTCGAGGGGTTGCGAAACATTGGGAAAAGGTCTGAAAGCCTGCAGAAAAGTCGAACTTAGTAAAGTCAGTTTCGTACGGCAAAATGCTGTCCTGAAAAATTAGCATATCCAAATTCGACCTGAGAGCGATCTCATAATATTTTTCATCTGTGTCTCCATCGCAATCTTCCCCGATCGAGCAATACTCATAAACTTCTATTGGAGTTTTTAATTCCTGTGCCAGATGAGCAACAACCTCTGACATGAGATTCGATGATCTAACCGCTGCGTTGTTGCTGTGACGTAGCAAGTCTCGCTTTTGAACCATCCCGACAACAAATTTCTCCCCTTGTAGGGAAATGGGGGGGAAATCATTCCCGCTTCTCGTATCTATAAGAAGCATCGATCGTGCGAAAGGATCGTATTTGAAGCACACATATTCTGCGCAAATGACCGTGTGCAAGCCACGAAAAAAGCGCCAAAAAAATCGGAAGAGAAACAGTAAATGGTTCTCATCAATATCTTCACGATCAAACGTTACGCTCTTGCCTCTCCTACCAAATTTAGGCAGCATGAAAATTATGTTGTTGATAGAGGTCCAAATATTACTTGCCATGAGGCCAGCGGTTTCCTTGAAAACAGCATCCGTGAGGTCAGTAACTCCGTTCAGCTCTGAGACACTGATGTGCAACTCGAAATCACAAGTCTTACTCATGTTTACCATTCCAGCAATTTTTTCATCTTCTTCAACACAATAGCGGCCTGGTTTTTTCAGCACCGTAGCATTTTCAACATACCATCCGGAGTCTTCATCAAATTTAGAGGCTGTTTGTGAAACCGAGTCTAAAATGAAACCAAGAACCTCGTCCAAACTGTTGAGATGAATGAAAATGTTTTTCGGTTGATGTCCAACGACCGTCTTTTTCAACCAGCGTTGATGGGTGATGAGGATTGTATCAATACTATTCTCGTGGAGAGTTTGGATGAAGGATTGAACTGGAAAATCGGCGTTGAGACTCAGAACGTGAAATAACTGGATCTTCGAGGACTGGCCTGTCATCTTGCACGCGTTTAAGGCAGGTGAAAGCATTCCCTCCGTTTCTTTGTCGAGATGCAGATCAAACTCGTTAGCTTTTAAACCGTTCAAAACGACCAGAACGCATTGGAATATGTTCAACTTCATGCGTGGCTTCATTTTTCATGAATTTCAATTGTCATTTTAAGTTATATCTGCTTTAAATAGTACCATTTGTTCCAAGAAAAAAAAAGTATTTTCCGAGGTATGGGTTAGCCATAAGGCCCGTTGAGAAAAAAATAGAGAAATATCATATCAAGGTCCTCACCGAATTCTTCAATGACCATCAATTATTGAAGGATGTTGGTATTGATTCTCGTATTTTCATTGTAAGACTTAATGGTGCGCGAAACAGCACACATACGCCAAAAATTTATCGTCACATTTTTGTTTGCGTTTGTTAAGTTTTGCGTTCATTATTCGATTGATTTACAGGCCTCCGAGTTGAAATGAAAAAGGAGACGTTATGGGAGGATAATACAATCATATTATAGAGATATATACAATATAAAACTATAACTTACAGGTCCTTGATTCCGAGAAATGTGATTCCTTCCGTCTGAAACCAATACCCTGAAGTAAGACAAATCTTCTTATTTTTGGTGTGGATATTTCATTTAAAAAACAAATTCAGATATTTTCTATAATTTAGAGATATCGCATCAAAATAATTTATTATTTTATGGCGAGGATTCCCGTTTTCCCCGTTTGCAGTCGGCAAAAGACGTAGTAAACCAAATTTGATATGCACTATCAAAACATTCTCGGTTTGTCAGGCGTGACATGTGTCGTTGACGTGACATCGATGAATTTTCCGCTTCCCACTAAAGTCTCCGATGTTACAATTTCCTTTTCCTCATCATATTTAAAGGAATAATAACGCATGAGGATACCTTCATTTGACCTCTATGCGGCCTCTAATGGACGCATCTATCCTCTGGAATAATTGCCTCGCTGTAATTAAAAAATTGGATCATACTTAAAAATTGAATACAACTGGCTCACTCAGAGAAAATCACCTGCTGTATGCTGAATTATCACAGAAATCTGGTCGATGGTTATTTTATTTTTCTAGAAGGAAGTACTTGCTTTATTTAGTTTTTTAAACCTAACATTAGTGTTCTCTTATAAAATAGTCCATGTTACCTTTTTACGTCCCTAACCCTAAATTTGAGATTAAACCGTGATATTCATTCCCTGAATAAAACATTTTCCATAATTTTTTTCTCTGTATTTTTTTCCCTCTCCTGAATATGAGGAATTCTCAGCCATTATCGCATTCTGTTATGATAATGGCTCCTTTATTAGCAGGCGAAATATGTATTCGAGCTCAATACCATAGTCAGAAGTCTAAAATAAATTAATTACATATTTTACTAGTCTCTTTTTGGGGGGGGGGGTTGGAGAGGAATAAATAAAGGTTGTAATGTTAATTTGGGGTTTTTACTCAAATCCGCCGTGGAACTCAAAAACGCAGTAAACGCCAGTTTACATTTTTTGGGAACAATGTAGCATAGCAGAAAAACTTGTGTACTTTGGGACAATGTTTTTACAGCATTCTTTCGCAAATATATCAAGAACTTCACCTGAAAATTCGAGGTACATGGGTAAAACAGTTTTTATTTAATAAAGTGCTAAGCTCCAAAAAACGAGGGAAAATCTTGATGGATTTACGGCGTTCTTGCTTAGCACGGTAGATAATAATAAGTTTATTTTTGATTCATATCCCTTTTCTTCCTGTAATTATAATACAGCCCTAACTTAATCTGACATAGAACTCACGAGCGTAGACTTAATTATTGCGATGAAACAGAACATCTCTTTAAAGTACGTGCTTGTAAATTCCTGAAGTAGTATCAGCCAGTTCTGTGTTTTATTCGTGAATACGCTTACAAAGTGACGAAAAATTAAGTGCCCACCTCGTACTCGTATGGGTTATCATTATTGCTTTGAAACTTGGTTTAAGCATTTCAAGAGCTTGATTTAACGCGGTTTTAGATATCATAAGTGCTCAACCGAGTGTCGACGATATTTTGAATGAGAACCAGAAGTAATGAGCCAGAAACAGTGTTTCAGAGATCCTTGCTCAGTTGTAATGATCACGGTTCTAAGCACGGTTCTATCGAAAAGTCACGTGGTAATATAGAAAATCAGTTATTGATAAACCTTCCTAAATTAAAATGTTACAAGCGAGGCAAATATTCTCATTCACTGCAGTACTTATGGGATCTCTCGATGTATTAGATCCTTGGCCATAGTCAATTGATTTAGTTGGTTTGAATTCCTGTTGTTATTTTATGCCTTGCGAATATCCTTCCTGTGAATATGGTGGCTGATAATTGGAATGCAGAAAATGCTGATCAGGTAAATATATATTTTAATGTAAATCTTCGAACTAGTAATAATGATTTAATCGTAATAATAATTGATTCGATACAGAATAGACGTCAGAAAGTTTCTGACGAAAAAGTTGAAGACACATAAATTTATGAAGTTATTGCTTACCCATTTCATTGCCAAATTTGGCTGATTAAGCTGTGTAGAACATAGTAACTGATTAAAAAACCGAGTTTCAAGTCACAATAAAACAATTAATATTTCAAACTAGATGAAAAAATGTATAAAACTTACAAGAAACAAAGCAGGAAGGTCGAAACGTTTGCTTTGTTTCTTGTAAGTTTTATATATTTTCTCATTTACATGTAGTTTGAAATATTGATTGTTTTATTATGGCCTGTAGCTCGATTTTTTAATCAATCTATATGTTAGTGTTTATCTTGGCTACATCATTGTAGGATTAAAAAAGTTACAAGAGATGTAATTTGCTGTTTTCCACTCTCGAAATAAAATGCATAAAAGATTCCATAATGTCTGACACCGCGGATTATTTATTCGCTTCTGGACCTTATCTCTGATAAACACAATTTACTTCAGGACGACAGATAATGATGCAACATCATACGGCAGCACTGCAAGAGGCGTGATTTTCAAGCGGGCCAATATATTTGAGAAGATTCCTTCAAGTAATTACTGCACATTGAACGGTAACTATATAGGCACAAATGTGTTGGTGCTGCACATGTGTCATTTTCAAGGCAATTTTTGCTGTCAGTATACCTATTACATACGCATCAAAGCACTAGTTTTTGACGAGGGTCAAGGGGCAACCTCTGTTTTCTTGGCAGCATCGAAGCTCTCAGAATTTATTTTGGCTAAAACTCAGATTGTTCGTCATCCTCCAAAGATGCTATTTCTTACGTTTTTTTTAAATATAATAATGTATTATAATATTATAACAATAATGTTCTCCGGGCATTTTTCAAAATTACGCCTCGATTGAAGACTCCATAACTCTGAATATTTTTGCTCAACATCATTGTACAGGGCCACTCAGATACGATACAGAAGAGCGCCTTCAAACTACTGTGTAATCTTAATGCGAAATTCTGATACCACTATTCGTGCGTCAAGACAATCATTTTGCATAGCCGGCTAATTGAAGGCAAATCATTGGCCCAAGCAACTCGATAAGAATTTCAGCAATGTGATACGTGCTTTATAGGGAACAAAACCGCCGCTGGTAATAGGTATCTTTGGAGAAATGACACCGGAGGACCCTCGAGTGATAAGCATTTAGTAACTTTTCAAAACCAGCGAATTCCCGAAAATATAATAAAACACAGAACAGCTGGTCCGCTTATGTACCTATGCTGTAGGCGGGAAACACTGAAGAGAGCGCGTTGTGCATAATAAAGCGCGCCGGATCAAATAGACTGCATTTGTGCTTCGGTTTTTAGAATATTTAGAAGTTGTTGCTACCCTGGTAAAAATTGGCAGTAGAATGTGTGTTCCAAAATACCATAGACCTAAAGCCGGCTTTAGGATTTCCAATAGCTTCCGTAGCCGTCTGTACAATTTCTTATAGCCTTTTATAGTCGATGGCGATTAAGCAACAGCCAGACGATAAAGTTTATGCTAAACGTTACTAAATACGGACACTAGGACTTAATTAGTTTTTGGGCTACCGCTCTCTTTTTGTGCCACAGTATCTTGATTTATTTTGCGAGGAAAGCTCCGTACTTTTGAAGGATGCCTGTCATTCTTAATATGTTGGAGCGCCTACAATTTCTTATGCCACTGTGCAATACCTCTGGTGTGAAATAGTTGCTTCAGGCACCGCGCCGTGGCACGCTGCGGCGCGGCGGGAGGGCAGAGAGCGCGAAACGCGCGTTGGCGCCTACAAACCTAACAGGGATACTTCACGCATTGCGCAATGCGTGAAGTATTCCTGTCAGGTTTGTAGGCGCCAGTACGTCGCCGCTCTGCTTTTTGTTAGGCTCTAATAATTAATCTCGCGGAGTCAGCGTTTTTCAACTCATGATTTTGAAATGTTTGCACATCCTGTATGAATTATTCTCATGTTAATTGATGAAAACAAATATATATTAAAGGAAAATATAGTGAGTGTTTTGTAAATATTAAGGTGGTTTCGTNTTGACAAGGGTCAAGGAGCAACTAGAGTCACTTTATACTGAGAGTCAAGACAATGTGAATCCATTTCTGATTTGTTCCCGTATTGTAGGCCTTCACAGTGTCACAAACGGGAATAAAGATTACATTTTCACCGATTGCAAAGATTATAATCTGGAATGGACCAGGAAATTACGGGTTCGGCAAGGAACAAACGGAATGAAAGAAAGAACGGAGAAAAGAATTTGAGAATCGAGAATGGGCCGATCAAAGATTACAAAAAACGTTCAATTTCTGTAATCTTTATTCCCGGTTGTGACTCCATGAGGGGGTGTTGTCTTGACTCTCAGTATAAAGGGACTCTAGGGGCAACCTCTGTTTTCTAGGCAGCATCGAAGCTCTCAGAATTTTTGGTTCAAACTCAGATTTTTCGTCGTCCTCTAAAGATACTATTTCTTAAGTTTTCTTTAATTACAACAATGTATTGTAATATTATAATAATAATGTTCTCTGGGCTTTTTTCAAAATTACGCCTCGATTGAAGACTCCAAAACTCTGAATATTTTTGCTCAACATCTTTGCACAGGGCCACTCAGATACGATACAGAAAAGTGCCTTCAAACTATAATGTAATCTTAATAGGAAATTCTGATACCACTATTCGTGCTTTAAGACAATCATTTTGCATAGCCGGCTAATTGAAGGCAAATCATTGGCCCAGGCAACTCGATTGGAATTTCAGGAATGTGATACGTGCTTTATATGGAACAAAACCGCCGCTGGTAATAGGTATCTTCGCAGATATGACACCAAAGGGCCCTCGAGTGATAAGCATTTAGCAACTTTTCAAAACCAGCAAATTTCCGAAAATACATTAAAACACAGAACAGCTCTGCCGTGATAGCGAAGAGAGCTGTAGGTGCAAAAATGAAGTTCTGAGAAAACGGGCTCATAGTGGAACATTTTATTGAAAGAAGCCTCCGTTCTTTGTTAAATTGTCACTATTTGTCCGGAAGACTCCTAGAAATCATTTGGGGGATTAAAACTCGACCGATTTTATTTTTGAGTACATGAAAAAGGTAAAATTCAGTTTCGTGTTAGGTAATTGTTAGGCAAGACAGCCGTAAGTGCTATCTTCTACATGCTTTCGTGGTTGCGTTTTGGACGCACAACAAACACATTTTCAGGTTAGAAATTGGCAGAAGAGGTCGGCACTTTACTGGAAAGCACTATTTTCATTGGCTCTCATGCACCAGCGGCTGTCTTGAAAAAAACTAAGCCATTTTTTGTGAACTTATGGCTTTCTCATATGTCTCGTTTTCATTAAATTAGGATGAATTTTGCTGTTTTAGCTGTTTCTGTAATTTCATCTAAAAAAGTTTAGACGAATTTTGAAGAAAACTCGATTTCGAAAATGTTGCACTTACGGCTCTCTTCGCTATCACGGCAGAGCTGGTCCGCTTACGTATGCTGTGGGCGGGAAACACTGAAGAGAGCGCGTTGTGCGTAAGGCGCGCCGCCTCAAATGAAGGGGCCAGAACGACACACGCATTTCTGCACGTAAGCCCGAGATACGGTTTTGGGTGACTTCCCAATTTTTTTCGATTATAGTCTCTTGCCTTAAGATAGACGACATCTTCAACAACACGTTTATGCTGCTAACTCAAAACTGTCAAAAATCGAGATACGCACTTCTGCACTTTCACCATCGATATCCTTGAGAGAAATTTTTATGCTACTTTACGAAGCGGACTAATGTACTGCCGTCCTAAGGAAGAACGCCGTATGACCCATCCGACGTTGCCAAATTGTCTTTGATAAAACATGAATTTCCTGGAAAACTTATGAATATTTTTCTTCCAATTTTTCAGAGAATTTTGTTCGTATTTTGATCTAAAGTTCCAAAAAATTTAAAGGGAAAATAGTCACAATTTGCCTCCAAAATGAACATTTTATCAAATGAAATTTGTCAACTCTCAAATGTTCATACGGCGTTATTCCTTCCCACGGCAGTGTAGGCAAATCATTATTTGAAGATTGAAGATTATAGTCTTTTGTTTAAAATAGTTTCGACTAATGAAGTTTTGCACGCTAATTCGCTCCGTGAAAATGAATGCTTTATTTTGAATCCCTTCAAAATTTCCGTGAGTGCTGGGATTTCAATGAATGTCAGCACTATTCTGCCGTGCTGAGGAAAAACGCCGTATGAACATTCGAGCGTTGCCAAATTTCCTTCGATAAAATTCTTATTTTTGGGGAATGCTAAGAATATTTTTCCTTGAAATTTTTAGGAGCTTCACGTGAAATTTCGAAAAAATTACTTGAAAAATTAGGAGGAAAAAATTCATAAGTTTACCAGGGAATTAGTGTTTTATCCAAGAAAATTTGGCAACGCCTGAAGATTCATACGACATTTTTCCTTAGCACGGCAGTATTGAGATTGTTTTAAGCGAAGGTGACTACAAGATGCGTCTTATTAGTCTTTTTTTTTTTTGCATTTGAGCCTGTCAGTGTGGATGTAAAGCCTCAGTTTTAGTTATATTGTGGTGGATTTTTTTATATTATGTATTTATTGTTCCAATTTTTTTTTATCTGCAGCCACTAAAGTATCCAAGATCTGTGTTTTTCATTCTTGCCTCTGAATTGTGTGAGCGTTACTCGTTTTTCGGAGCACGAGGTAAATTGATTCTCACTTCTCAGTAATATTTAAGAGTCAAATGCATTTTAAGATTGGACATGAGCCTAAATGGGCCTGTTGCAAACTTTTGCTAGAGCAAAACTAAGATTAATACATAATAGTCAGGCATACAACACGTTGTAGTTTTTTACCATTTTATCAAAGAATTCTAATAATTATTTTCATCGTGGAGATGCTGACACAAATCAATAAACCCAATAAAGTTGGGTAAAAAATAAAATCCCAATAAATCAATAAAGTTGGAAAGCATTTGCACACTTTACACTTCAGAACAATACTTAACTTCAAAGTAAAATCTTAAAATAAACGTTTAACACGCCTCCGGCGAATTACACTCTCTTTAAATGTGTAATTCTGACTTTTTATTCCAGCAATGGAACATTGCGCTACAATACAAGAGCATGAATTGGATGGATACTGTACTAAATATAAAGTGGAATATAAAATTAAAATTAAAAAACCGAATCATTTTCAGTGAGTCTTGCAGTCATTGGATTTTAAAACACCAGTAAAAACAAAATTATAAAGAAATGAAGTAAATACCCGTATGACTGGGGACCAGAAAAATTTTGAGGGCACAAACATTCCTATATTTTACATAATTGTAAATTCACTTTAGCTGGTTAGCAATTCAAGTCTAACGACGAGAGTTTTGGGGGATTTCTAACTTACGGGTTTGGAGTGTAGAGAGGCAAATCATGTCACATCAAAAAGTAGAAGGGTTTCCAGCAACTGCACCAAGAAGCTTGAAAGGCCAAGCTCTTTTACTATAAGCATTCTCTATTATTATTTGCCCTCGAACATAAATTTAGGTACGATTTGTACATATTTGTTTCAGTTATTTTGGCTCTTTACCTTCGAAACTTCCTGCATTACTCAAAAGAAGATGCCATCTCAATTTTTCATATTTTCACGTTTCTTTGCTATTTTCTGCCAATTTTCGGAGGCGTTTTGGCTGATTCTTACATTGGAAAATATCGGTGAGTAGCGTCAAAATTGTATTTGGTACTTAAGCATTCTGTAAACGAAAGATTATTGTTGCTTTGACTTTTGAGTAAAATTCAGCCTAATAAACTTGTGGATTTAAAGCAAAAGAAGAATTTTTTTTTTGCAAAAAATACAAAAAACCATAAAAGTGCCACAATTAGACAAAACGTCAAAGAAAATATTTGACTTTATTTTGTTTTTCATTAGGACAATTTTATACTCGTCAGTTATACACGTGGTGGGGAACATTCTCATGGCCGTTGCAGCTACTCAATGGTCTAATTACTTCAGGTAAGTTCCATTAAGTTACATTAAGTTAGGTAGGTGGACAAGTTACATTAATCCACGGTAGGTATTCTGCAATCCTGAACAACAGATGCAGAAGCTAGTAGAGTAATATAGGCCTCCTCTTAGTTCTCCCTAATTTGTAACACCATACATATAAAAAGAGGTGTACATTTTTCGCGTTTATAATGACAAACTGGATTCCCATATATACTTGAGGATAAGAGCGTTACGAGTGAATACTGGCAAACTTTATTGAAAAGCAATAATTCCCACATTTAAAGACTTCAATTGCAAGAGTCCTTTATACTTACCAATTTTTCGTTTTTATGATATTTATGATTAAATATCCTCGGCACTAGATGGCCTGACAAACAGGATTATGCCCCATAGACGCTCGTAGCAGAAACAGAACAACAACAACAACTGTATGAGCAGTTCAGCACTTTGTTGTATTCCAAAACGACGTCATATTTGATTGTTCTCTATGGAAATACCGCAAAGATCTGTTTTCGTCTCTAAGAAGTTCATTTAAATAAATTATCTATACCCTCTAACATTTTGGAAAATAATGCTGAACAATCTTCTCATGAGAGAAAAAGAATAAAATGAGGATTTAAATATATTTGTCCAAACGATTTCATGGGTTCGAGGAGAGTTTGAAGGTCCTGATGACCTCAAATCAAAATAATCAAGAATGCCGTTAAAAATGACTTCTCGAGACACAACTAAGGGACCGGGGTCTGGAAGACGAATTCTAGGTCTTTGGGACTTCCAGCAGGCTGATTATTGAAATTAATGGACACCGATAAAGCGATAGACAAAGAAGACATAGGTAATATGGAGTGATCCTATTGGTTCAAACGGGTGGTTATTATAGACTAAGGGACTAATGGACTAACTGCAGTGTCTCTCGTGGGTTGCTTTTAGTTAGTTACCTCCTATGTCCATTGCAGCCACCAGCTCTCACCAATAGGATCGATTTATTATTATTTTTTATTCTTTGTCTATCACTTTGTCTATCAGTTACAATAATTAGCCCGCTGCTCTGCAGCATGAGTTTTAAATCATACTTCTGTATTTTTCCAGGGAATTTTCTTTATTGGGACTGTTTCTGACGGCTTTCGGGACTGGCTTGATGAAGCCATGCATGTGTGTTTTTGGAGGTGATCAGTTCGTTCTCCCGCAGCAGGCGAAACAGCTGGCAACCTATTTCTCGATATTCTACCTTTGTGTGACTATCGGCTCCCTATTGGCTGCAATTGCAGGTCCAATCCTTAGACAGGACGTCACGTGTCTTGGGGAATCGTCTTGCTATCCTCTTGCTTTTGCAGTCCCCGCAGCTTTCATGTTCCTTGGTCTAGGTCAGTGTAAAAAAACAAGAGATCAAGAACAGGTACTCAGATCCATTTTAAACGAGGTAAAACTATTGACGCATGAGGAATTAAGGGTGATACAGGGTTCAATGGGTCACTAAAGCTTGTGTTTTTTATTTGATATTATGAAAGTACCAGCGGGCCGATTATTGAAATTGATAGACAAAGCAATAGATAAAGAAGACATAAGGAGTATAAAGCAATCCTATTGGTTGAAATGGGTGGTTCCTATAGACAAAGGGATAAAATGATGGACTAACTATCGGGTCTCTCGTGGGTTGTCGTCAGTCTGTCACCTAGTCCTTTGTCCATTGCAGCCACCCGCTTCCACCAATAGGATCCCTCAAGATCTCTTTTGTCTCCTTTGTCTATTGCTTTGTCTATCAATTTCAATAATCACCCCGCAGTTGGGTAGACTATCTGGTGAACATCAGCTTAGTTTGGAGCCAAAATCCTACACAAGTCAGCCTGTAAGGTGAATCTACAGCGATGCTTAGTAAGAAATTTTTCCGCGTAGGAAGCGCCACCGCTGCTGTGTTTTGATTTTTTGGTGCACGCTATTAGAGTCCGTACAGCTCCACGTGAGTCCTTGAGCTTTTATGAAAGTTAAAGGAATTTCTGTTAAAATCAAAAAGTCATAAGTTCTAGCAATAACATTCTTCTTCCTATTGAAACTAAAAAGACGTAAAAAGTAATTTCTGAAGCTCTGAAACTTGATTCCAGAAAAAAGTAGGGTTAAGCATGATGACCTTGATGCAACCAATCGTGAGTGATCGCTCTCAGCAGATGCAGATATGTCCCCCACCGTGAGCTACCTCTCTCGCACTCACAGATGTCCCATGAGAGAAACTGGGATCAAGTTAAAGCTTTTATTATTAAACTTTCAAAGCTCGAGTTTGTTCCTAAGGATTCCGTACGTATGCTGCCAGAACTTAAGAGTCTTAGAATTTAGAATATTTATTGTGATATTTAAATAATCACTGATTTCGGAGCTGGATTTTAGCAGAGCGACGTGGTAAATTTTTCCGGAACTACAGCTGAAGATTCACCTTAAAAGGTCTAAAGTCTCAACGGAACTTCAAATGCGCCGGAATGACGGGGAAATGTTGGAAAGTTATGTACTACGGTATTCAAATAGCTATCACTGCTATCACTCCTACAATATTGTACCGTTGGTTGTTGAAAAAATTGTATTTCAATGTGGAACTGTTGCTTGTTTAGATACCACTGATAACATGAATGAGATTTGATCCTTCTGAAGATATAATTACGACTTTTCCCCAAAAGAAACCCGTGCTTCTCATTGGTACCGGATGACACCACTCGGTTCGACTCAAAATCTGGGTGTTTTTAATTTGTGGAAAATTTGCACTCTTTGAAGTATTTTTTAGCTTCTGAGTTACTTTTTCGCGTTTTTAATGTCCCCATCATGCTCTACTCGTCATTGACATCAAGACAAAATTCGTTTATGTTTTAGTGACTCATTGGCAAATTTTGCATAAAAGCAGCAGGTAAAACTTTATGTGGTGAAGATGATAACCGTTCATAATGTAGATGTAGACTGATAAAAGCAAAACCCACCGAGCCCCTAAAAATAGAAAAGATGTTGCCTACTTGGACACATAGTTTTAAAAGGTACAGAGACAAAAGCGGTAGATGTCTAGCCGTTATAGATAGCGCTTACTTGAGAGTCGCCTTCGATTGCTGGATAGGCAACAACACCTACGTAGAAGCGCGAATAGTTGTCTACTCGAAAAATGTGCATCCATCTCGTTTGATTGAACCGATAAATAATGTCGTGAATCTATAATTAAAACAATTATCCATTCGAAGTTTGCCTTCAATTTCGCTGCATAGGCAAACAATCTATTAGGGAGGACGAATTTGTATCTATGTTCGAATAACACAAATCTAACCCGTCTTGCTGTCATGTTCATGCCACAGCACGCTGCAAATTAGCTTCAACCTCGGATTTGTTTAATTTATACATGTCATTGGGAAAAATTATTGTTTCAGTGTTGATAATATGCGGGAAACCTTGGTATAAACTACAAAAACCTGAAGGGAACATTTTAGCTGACTCTTTCAAGTGTATTCTAGTGAGTATGAATTTTCCATAATTTTCATGTAAAAAAAATCCAGAGGAAAAAATTCAGCAATGTTAAACGTAGTCACTCTGACTCCTTTATAATTCATCCAATTGTTGGAGCCATATTGATGGCGGTCCTCCCAAACCTACAAAATATGGACTGGAAGTACGAAATATTTGCTGTGGATGGCAGACTTTGTCCTCCTTTTACGGCATGGTAGTTCCTGTGCAGAAAATTAGACCTAAATTGGTTTCCGAACTCGAATAGGGTTGTTGCTAGTGTGAGGAATTTGCGATTTGACCATTCATTCCTATGTAAAAGTTCGCGAGAAACAAGATGGTCCCACTGGTGTTCTCTGAAATCAACTCCCAAGCTCAAAAGAAGCCCTCAAGTTGAGGCCAAAATGGAGGGGATATCCCACGCTATCCTGTGAGTCCACCTTTACATCAAGACAAACTCTCCATGCAAAGATAGGGAGCAAATACATTAGCAGTCATGCCGTGTTTTCAGTTTTGGAGTCACCAAATAAAGTGGCAGCCCTGTCAATGTGTTTGCTCCCTATTTTTGCATGGAGAGGTTGTCTTGATGTAGATGTGGACTCTCAGGATAGCGCGGGATATTCCCTCCATTTTGGCCTCAACTTGAGGGCTTTTTTTGAGCTTGGGAGTTGATTTCAGAGAAAACTAGTGGCACCATCGTGTTTCTCGCGAACTTTTACGTATAAATCAACAGTCAAATCGCACATTCCTCACACATGCAACACCTCCATTCTAGAATCTGGCCAACAAATAGACCGTTTCTCAAATTTTCGTTCGTGTATGGACTTCATCAAATAACTGCCTTATATAAATTAATTCAACGTCACGTTTTAATCACTCTAGTGCGCTTTGTGGAGGAAGATGTCCCCGAGACGTGGATTAGATGAACCCGCGCATTGGCTAGAATACGCCAAGGACAAGTTCCATCCGCAACTCTTAAAGGACGTGCGAGAAGTTCTCGGGGTGCTCCCGATGTATCTTCCGGTTCCTTTGTTCTTCGCTCTTTTTGATCAACAGGTGAGACTTGCAACGGGTTCATTGAGATTGACTTGTTTCTCAATGGTGACTTCATTTTTTATATCATTTTTTATGAAAGAAGAATGCCATGGATCTCGTTTTCTTAGATTCCTTCTCTCGTTTTCTTTCAACTAGATGCATCTGTTGTAGCACAGCGCAACGAGAATATTTAAACGAAAATTTGATTTAATTCAATATTTTACCAAGAAATTGCAAAATTTTTACGAGCTCTCCGTGTCAGAAAGACAGGCAATATGCAATGAAATGAAAATTCGTAACTTATTTCAATTGTTTTGCAATACATTTCAATAAAAAGTGTTCCTTCTATCAGCAGATAGGCAACATGCAACACTCCGATGAAATATCAATAATTTTACAATGTAACTGCAATTTATTGCAATCTATCCTACTTGGATGTATATGGTTCTTTTTTACGAAACTCAAAACGAGGTATGGTTTTTCATAGGGAATATACCTCGCTGAACCAATAATTTTGATTGCTGATTTTTCATAACCAACAGTATTTTTCATTCACCGTAGGGATCCACTTGGGTATTTCAAGCTTCACAAATGGACGGTGTCGTTTTCAACTGGTTTACAATTAAACCGGACCAGATCGAGGTGTTGAATCCGTTATTTACGGTATTACTTATTCCAGTATTTGAACTCGTCCTCTATCCTTTACTGGAAAAAATCGGCATCAAAAGGCCGTTGCAGTATATAACGATTGGAGCGTCATTTTGCGCCGCTGCATTTGTCATGTCAGCCTATCTTGAGTACAAACTGGAGGTAAGTCAGGTCTGATTATATACTTTGATGACCGATTTTATGAGGAATTTACACGATTAGAGATCGTCAAATTTTAAATGAATGTATTTGTAATAGAACCGTAATTAAAATGTCAAGGATATATCATGAATTTTGAATGTGTTTAGGATTTCTGGATCCGAACTTTTCTGAAAGTCATCTACTAAATCTTGATGAATATACATACATTAACAACACCGCTCTTCAGATATACTACAATAGGATTTTAAACAGTCAGATAGAGTGATAATCACTTTTAAGGGATAGGTCAAACCTCTGATTTGGATGAATTCCTACGCCTTGTTTTTCAGGTCTTGTAGAGGAATAAAGATCGAAGTTAGTTCATCTAATTATTCAATATTTGTGAGAATAGAATATATTTCAGAAATATATTACCCTAAACAATTGAGACATTAATCATTTTTTAAGAAGCATGAAAAATATGCGCTATAGATTTTGTCATACGCGTTCCTATCAAAGGCGGATCCCAAGACCTCAAACGGGGTGGATGGGGGGCGTTGAGGGATTTCCCCAGCAAATTTCCGAAATTTCAAAGCATCTAACACATATATTTATAGTTTGAGTCAATTTTTTCATGAATATGTACCAAATATAAGCGTCCTTTCTCCTTCTCTCCCTCATTTCTTCTTTTTTTCTATCTTTCCTTTTTATTCCTCTTTTTTCGGGCGAACTAGGAGGGCGTGCGCCCCATACGCCCCCCACCCCCAGATCTGCCTATGGTTCATATGACAACATAAAAGTTCGCATGACTTCGAGTTGGCACTCAATGGATCGATTCAGAGAGGTCGACCATGAATTGTTTTACCAAAACTGCAAATTTTGATGTTTAATTCGTCACATTTTAAATTTCGAGGGGTACCGAGGAAAGTAATGGAACCACTTTTAAAATCTCAAAGTTTTGATTGAACGGACTTGAAAACTGTTAAAATTTTCAAATTTTGTCCGACCTCCCCAATGGACTGAATCCACTGTGCGGAAGCCAGAACGATCTTAAAAATGGTATAATAATACGTACACGTGCCAAAATAATTATTGAGAAATGAAAGAAGATCATCCACGGTCCATTATAATTTCAGCCCTCTTATGCAAAAATGCCTGCTTCGGGACTAGGGCAGCTAAGGATTTTCAACGGGTTACCGTGTCAAGTTGATCTGGAACCCCCTATAGATGGAAGGAACCTCCTCTCACCCAATGGTGAAATACAGTGGACTGACATTGAGGTGACTGGATTTCGATCATTGGACGAAACCCTTGTTTTGAATACAGAGCTAGCCTGTAATAACACAACTGTGCCTGTGAATTGGACAAGAGAGCTCCTCGTTTTTGAAGGGCAGGTAAGAGAATACTCCGTTACCTTCCGGCGAAAGTATCACGAGCACCATGCGACGTTTAATAATTTCCGCCGTCATTTTATTTTTTCACAGAAAAATTGTTCGATGACGCTGTCCGAAAATTTCACCGAATTTTATCGGCAGCACAAAGAAAATTCAGTGAAATTTTTGGACAGATTCAACCAAAAGTTTCTCTGTAAAAAATAAAATGGCGGCGCAAATTTTGAAACTATGCACGGCGTTTGTGCTACTTTGGCCGGAAGGTGACGACTTGATGTATAGAGGGTATCATGTGTGCGTTGAGTGGTTTTCAAACCACGCAAATTAAACCAAAATATGTGAAAATTCTCGAGGTCTTGAAAACTACCATCGAGGTTTTCTTTTCAGACACCCATTAGTTTTGTTCCGTATCATTTCAAATGGAGTGTAACATCCAGATTAAACTGCCGTGCCATGGGAGAACACCGTATGAAAATTCGAGAGTTGCCGAATTGCCCTTGATAAAAAATGTGTATTTGACGACATTCATGCATTATTTCCCTTGAAATTATCAGATATTTTAGATTAAGTTGCGCACAAAATCGTCTGAAAATGATGCGAAAAAATATTCACAATTTTCCCAGTAAATTCGGGTTTTTCGCAGGAAAGTTGGCGACGTCTGAAGGCTCATACGGCGTTCTTACTTAGCACTGCAGTAAAGACAAGCTCATTCAGGGGATAGAGGCCATCGCGATACTGAACGGAATGCTTTGGGGTTAGATCATTTCAAAGGCAAACATGCACTAGGTATACCACTGTGAAAAGTATCGCACTTTATGGTAGTAAAGTGTGGCCTGGGACGGAGGAAACACGAGATATGTTGGGGATTTATGGCGGCATCTCGAGACGGGACCTTGTTCGTAAGGAAAAAATTTACCAGGTGATGAAGGTTAAAAGTAATATCGTGCAGGACGCCATGTCCAGGCAGTTAGTGTGGTATAGGCGTATGCAAAAAATGTCCAAGGAGAGGTTGCCCAAACAAGTTTTGGTATAGGCCTGGGAGAAGATGACGGGACGTCCCTTGCAGGGCCGGATTTGGCTACTTGCCGCCCGTGGGCCGCCTGTATTTTGCCGCCCCCTTCTCATTAGTTTTGAAACACCAATAAAAACCACCAAATGAACGTGCCAGCGGAGGAGGGGTGCATAAAACGCGTTTACTTGTGTTGAACACATTTTTTGGAGAAGCCCTGTCAACACTACTAGCAGAAGTTCACGGAACTTGGCGCAAAAGTTAAGTCTCGTAAACCTATCTCTGTGTGGACAAGGCCTTCCATTCATAAGAAATGAACGAAAAAAGCATGAAAGAACAAACCTAAATGTGGAATGATTTTAATTTCCGCCGCCGCGCCGCGCAGACCGCACCGCGTTTGGCGCAATGCGTGAAGTATTCACGCAGTCTTGTAGGCGCTATGAGTTTCACGCCGACCGCTGCTGAACGCACTATGTTTGACGCAATGCGTGAAGTATTCACGCAGTCTTGTAGGCGCTATGCGTTTCATGCCGATCGCACTGAGTTTGCCGCAATGCGTGAAGTATTTATGCAGTCATGTAGGGGCTAATATGTGTTACATGCCGATCGCCGCGCCGAGAGCTTCTCCTTTTCATCTCAAGTCCTCGTCATCGTTTCTCTCTAAGTTCCAGGCCAAATTGCGTGTTTGGTTTCTCCCTTAACTGGACTAATTAAAGGTGCTGTCTCTTGTATCACTGAAAGACGACAAAAGTAGAAATTATTTTACTCAGAAAATTAGAGATTTTGTCGCCTTTTCTCGTTTGTATTTGTTTTCTTTCTAAATTCGAATTTTCTATACTTGCATTTAAAACAATTTATAAATTTGCCGCCCCCTATAGATTCGCCGCCATGGGCCGCGGCCCAGCGGCTCATGTGGCCACCCCCATAATCCGGCCCTGGTTCCTTGGTGGCATGGCGTTGACGAAGAGATGTTGCGTTGTTAGTTGCTCGATTACCTCCGGTAAGATAGGAACATGTGGCGTTTGGATGTCGCAGATCGCCAGGGTGCATTGTAGGAGCGACTTTTATGTATGTATGGTTGGTTGGTAGATACGTTTATTTAAAGGCATTTTCAACATCTGGGTCATTAACACCTTAGAAGAGAGATCAACATGGTAAAGTAGAGAATTTAAAACAATTAAAAAGTAGGGATCACAAAAGATGTATAATTGGTTGGTAGATACATTTATTTAATGGTGCTTTTAACATCTGGGTCTGTATGTATTTGTAACATCAAGGTAAGGAATGGTGGCAGAGCGTTGGCGAAGATATGTTGCGGTGCCAGTTACCCGAGAACCTTTGGGAAGATACACCTATATGTGGCGTTTGGATGTCGCAGAGCGCCAGAGTGCGTTTTAAGGAGCGACTTTAAGTGGGTTATTAAGTGAGCGATTTTAAGCGACATTGTGTGAGGGTGTGTTTATGTGTAGGTAACATCTAAACCTAATAAAATATTTAAAACTCACTCACGAATAAGAAAAATAAAAGATCCTGCTCATGATTGTTGTGTTGACAGACGAATATGGTAGGATCAACGAATTCATTGGTAAAGTCTTATAACTTTGTAGTTGGCTCTTCTAAAAAAATGGTTAAAATAACCATAATTATCATTAAACTCCGTCGGGAATTTCAGCGTTATCATTCATTATCATGTGCTTTTGAGTCATTTTCGCATAATGAATGAGTCCTTCCTTGATACTTAATTTTGCTATTTTATTTTTTTTCATACACAGTCTGATACTCAATGCATACTAAATTCATTGGTCTCTCCTTGAAATATTTTGATAAGGGGTGCATATCATGTTATTTTGTAATTGTTTTGAAAATTGATTAATAGATATAGAACTGTGTTCAGCTTATGAGTGACTGACAACTCTATTCTATTTGCGGTGTTTCCCAAGATGTAGAGCAACATCCATCGGAAATCTAATCTGACCAAAAAAGTTCTCCGATGAATACCAAAGTGCTGAGGACTAAACCGATGATCAGTATGATGAACGCAATGCTCACGTCAACCATACTAAAAGGTCTAACGGGCTCATTATCATAAACTTCTTCATACTGTTGGAAGTGGTTGTTTAAATCTCTTATAATTTCCTCATAAACTTTCTTTGAAATTCCAGATTCTTGAATTCGCGCCGCGACGGATTTAATCGCAGCACCGTACACTGAGTTAGACAATAAACGCATGTCATATGGATATGTCATGACATGCTCTTTTACGATGTGCAAGTCGACGTACACCTCATCCATGGTAGTTGGGTCCATGATGGCTATCAGATCCTTTTGCCTGTGCAGAGAAGATAGAAACACTATGAAGGCATCATTGCAAAGGATCCCTCGGAGAGCATTCAGTAAGTCACGCGCGGACTGCTCGGAAATGTTTACCCCCAGCGCACTACCATATTCAACATCGGATTCGTTGTTCGAGTTAAACTCCAGAAAAAGTAAATTTGCCTCTCTCTCCGTTTCATAATCCTGCCATGTGTGTATCGTACGCTCTTTCTCTCTCATCCTTTCGAACTTCGGATCGTCGAAGAAAAGATATTTCTGAGATATCCCTCTGGGAGACTGAAACAGCAGATCGGACTCCATAACCTCTTCGATCGTATTCAAAGGCGTGTAGCGTAATTTTATGCTTAGATTGTTGATTGTTACGCTCTGGAAGAGCGTCGCGAGAACCATGAATGAAAACGACAGAGTCATGAATAGAATCTTTCCTGTCGAGAAGTCAGTAAGTACCCGAGATTGGCCTATGCAAAGGATGTAAGAGTATACCGCCAACACACTCGATATGTTCTCCGATGGGTGCGGGTTTTCCTCTGACGATTTTAGAGTGATACACAATCGTCGGTAGACCTCGTGTGTGAGAATGCTAAGTAAAATCGAGCCGAAAATTGAAAACCACACGGTTTCCGTGAAAGATTTCGCGGGTATCATGTAGGCAGGCATCAGACCCCGCTCGGGCACAAGAAAAACAACAGATCCAGGTTCGGAAATCTGGACGACGTCGAATTGGCTGAAATCTTCGTCCGATAACCCGCCCTCGTAAACCATCAAATCCACATCTTGTTCAATGGCCACCTCGAAAAGGCCTTGTGTAGAGTTGAAGTCGATATGAGAAACGACATCACCACGAATCCTGCTGTCTATTTTCGACGCATTTAAATGGTTGGCGGCCGTATCCAAAACGAATGTAGCCATCTGCGCCCACGATTTCAGATAAAACATGTATTCAGATAAACCATCGTAGTCATACAAAGCAACTAAAATTCGAGTACCCTGCAAATTCGAGATCGTGAAGTCGAAGTACGCGCTAGTCTCCGTCACGTACGCGTTGATGACGTCACGGAATGGATCGTAGCTGAAACACTGGAAACCGATACAGGCCACTGTCTTGTGGCCTCGAAAAAAGCGCCAAATGAATTTGAACGTAAGCAGCAAATGACACTTCCCAACATCGCCATTCGCAGAGAGGTTTGTACCGTGCGGCCCGGCCAAGCCATTGTCACGCACGATGAAGATGAGGTGGTTCGCTGCGTTCCAGACCGGATGGTGGTGCAGTCCGCGAGTTTGCTCTAAAGTTGATTTCGGCAAGCTCGAGCCTAAAATTAAGTCCTCCTCTCGGAGGTTTACGAAATGATCACAAGTTTTGTACGGTTTTCCGAACCGCACGCTTCGGTGCTTTTCATGATATTCGATGCAAACGGTCTCTATCACAGAGTCATCAATGGGCAAGTCTTCACTCTCTATGGTGTGATTAATTCGCGTATTTTCCGAGACGGAGCCCAAAATGAGGCTTAAAATATCCTCACAGTCACTGAGCATTACCAAGGTGGTCTTCGTGCCTCCAGTAAGATGCCCGATCGTTGTTGATATATTTCTCTCGTGGAGCAAGCGAATTAACTGCGTTGGTGAGCGCTTCGCGTCGAGGTTAGAGATATGAACGCTGGATGATTCGGAGATTTGTAGAGTATTTTGAACAATCTTCAGATAAAAGTGGTCTAGATCGATCTCTCTTTGAACTGACGGGTAGTTGCGGGACGGAACCACGCAGAGGGACAACACCGAAGTGATCGCATAACGTTGAATAAAATACATGGTACGAAAATGTTCGGTCGGGTCCTCAAAATCCAGATCAAAAGTATGATTTTACAATTACGATTTTTCTGATTCCCATAGCCGGATGACTTCGCTTGTGGATGACCGCCCTTCTTTCTGCTGCGGTTTATTGCTTCTGGTGCTAAGTTTATTTTTAACGGTGTATTCAGAGCAACAATAAACTTTGCCTGAAAAACATTTTAAGGCAATTTTTTTGGAAGAGGTAAAGAGTGACAGAATGCATTCCCTTTTACAGAATCAGTTCTGCTCTCTCGTTCTCCTTGCTGCATGGTAAAGGATTTTTTAAAAAAGAAATAAAAAAAAATAATGAAAAAATTGAAATTTATACATTTTTTCTTCGTAAGTGTGTAGAATCGGAGGAAAAGAATTATTCAGAATGTTACGTGTCACATCCTGGTGGATTGAGTGGACTAGGATATTTTTCCCCCAAAAACGATCACACATAAAAAAAAGTAACGATGGGCTCAAATTGCTTATCTATCTAATAAAAATCACCTTTGATAAAGGACACCACATTCTAACATGGTGTACCATGTTTAATCCACTGCTTCTAACGAGAAAAACGGCCGTTGAATTCAAAGTTAGAAAGATAAGAGGAGAAAAGAGGAGAAGAGAAGAAAAGAGTGAACAGAGAAATTAACCAGTATCACTGAATAATTAATCATGAGGAAGTATGTAAACTTATAAAGACCGCAAATGTTTAGTTATTCATGGTTGGTTGTGTCATATCAAAATGTGTACCATGCAAACTCGTGTGTTTGCTTAAATTTTCACTGCAGTCTATGAAAAAATCAAATCGGGTCAGGGTAACTATACCTGCACCCGTGTTGCATCTATAAAATTGAAGGCGCGATGGTGCAAAACGTGAACTCTTGACGCTCTGCTCTTTCCTGCCAATGATGTGTCGCTCGATTTCGGGAGCAAAGTTAAAAAACGAGGCGCGAAAATGGACGTATTTCTGTCAAATGGAACTATGTGCATTATGACGTGAGCCCTGTTATGCATTTATTCTTATGGGTCTCAGGGCTCATGCCTTGATGCACATAGTTTCGTTTGACAGAAATACGTCTAAATGTCTCTCCTGTCTTTGGTTGTGACATCAGACAAACACAATATATCGCCGGTAAGTCGGCAATCACATAACTCGGTTTGTGACGTTGCAGACTTCCTGTCATACTTTATTTTATAAACGGAAAACTACTCAACGGTAATTCTTTAAAACTGCCGTGATTTTTCTTCCCTGTGCGAAGAAAATTTTTCAAAAACTTCAAGGAATGATGTTAATTTAATTTGTCCTCTTTTAAAAAAATAACTTAGAGGCGGAGATTTTCAGACACCGCAAACGAGTTACGTGATTGCCGACGTACACCGTCGATATGGAAATAGTGCAGAGAAAAGGACGCGCATTGAACACGGCGCAGAGATACAACTATTCGTGCTCGGCGGATGTCCGTGTTGCGTCTAAAAAATTGAAGGCGTTATGGCGCGAGGCGTGAACTCGCAATGCTCCGCTCTATGCTGCTAATGGGGTGTCGCTTAGATTTGAAAGGTAAAAAACGAAACCCGAATACGTCTCTCATATCTTCAGCTGTGTTGACATTAGATAGTTTTATTTCTTCTTTTTAATTTGACGTCTGATTCTATTTCTAGGGTTTATTTGTAGACCTTTATCTGAAGCTCGCACACGGGGAGGAAATGTGACCAAAATTTTGTGTTAATATGGGAAGTGAAACACAGAGTAACACAAGCTTTTGGCAACTTTTTTTGATTTTTGATTTTTGATTTTTTGATTTTTGATTTTTTGATTTTTTATTTTTTTTATTATTTTTTTATTTTTTTATTTCTTTATTTTTTATTTTTTATTTTTCATTTTTCATTTTTTATTTTTTTATTTTTTATTTCTTTATTTTTTATTTTTTATTTTTTTATTTTTTATTTTTTTATTTTTTATTTCTTTATTTTTTATTTTTTATTTTTTTATTTTTTATTTTTTTATTTTTTATTTCTTTTATTTTTTATTTTTTTATTTTTTATTTTTTATTTTTTTATTTTTTATTTCTTTTATTTTTTATTTTTTTATTTTTTATTTTTTTATTTTTTATTTCTTTTATTTTTTATTTTTTTATTTTTTATTTTTTATTTTTTATTTTTTTATTTTTTATTTCTTTTATTTTTTATTTCTTTTATTTTTTATTTTTTTATTTTTTATTTTTTTATTTTTTATTTTTTTATTTTTTATTTTTTATTTCTTTTATTTTTTATTTCTTTTATTTTTTATTTTTTTTGTGCGTGTGTCGGTTCTCTCTCTGTCAAGTGGACCAAAATTTGCGACCTCGTTAAAAAAATGGCGCTTGCCACCAGGTTTGAACCTGGTTTGCATCGGTGGTAGTCCATTTCTCTAGACACTCGCAAGTCTCAACCTCTATGTATGGGAAGGAAAAGAAGAGTACATAATTTCCGCGAGACACTATCTTCATGCCTGTCTTACAGTACCCTGCAGTTTGGGTCGAGGTAACGCAAAATTTTGCTGAGTAACCAAGTCCTTCGGTTTGTTCTGACACACGAAAAAGTAACACAACTTAACACAGAGTAACACTAAACGGGGCAATTTTTAACTGTGTATGTGCCTACCCCATACAACCCGAAGGCAAGTTTTTTTTAAGCAAGCCTCTCGCGTCAATTTGACGTGGCTTAATTGGACATCCAATGATAAAATAATTTACCGGCTCAGGCGAGGTTACGAACACTGTAGGACGCAAATGTCTCCAAAATTTTCTGATTTACGTGCGTGTTAGTATTTTGATTTCTACTGGAATAGAAATAATCACCGAAAAAACACTGCATAAAAATGCCCCTTTATCCCTACTTCATAGTAAACTATGCATATTTCGATGATGTATGGCATTTATCATCATTCAATGTTGCCGAGGTATGTAAAATGTCATTGGGTGTATATCAAATATTCTCCAAGTGATACAAATTTCCTCTGATGTCGTTCCATTTTTTTATGATATTATAACGCAATGTAAGTAGGGTAAGAAATATTTAGGTGTTTTATCATTAATTTTTCAGAGTACGTCATATGTGATCACTGTCACGGATGAAGTTGCTGATATTGTAAGACTCCCAGGTTTTGACGATGTTGCCAAGTCTCTAAACAACGTGCCCAAACTCAGGTGATTTCGACTCAAAACAAGCAGTTACACACATTCTTCTGAGCCATTTTAAGTAACGAATAGTCCTTTTGATTTTTTCATGTCGTGACAATAACCGTCAAATTAAAATGTACGCTGCTCTCTCAATTGAAAAATAATGTGTATTTTTGAAAACAGCACTCCTCTACTAATCGCTTGAAGAAGATAAATAATGTGTTCTTTTATAAAACATATGTATCGAAGGTTGTTTTCATTGCACAAAATAGCAACCAGAAGGAATTTTTAATGTTGCAAATACTCACTAAATACGTTATTAAGTTTTCCCGTGACAGGATCTACGTTTTAAATGTTCCATTTTTCTGTCGATTACAGGGACACCTATGACCCATAGATCCATTTTTCATACTTGCCAAAGTATTTTGATTTTAATCTATCTTCTCGTATTCATTATCGCTGTTGGAAATTAGCATTCATTGAGTAATTTCAAGCATGTAAAAAATGAGAACAACAAAACAGCTCATACACCTTTACTGATATTTTCAGGGTAGCGCATAACCTTGACGGTCATCTTTTCTTGAAGAATCAGTATGGAAATGAGTTCAATTTCCCGTTGAGGAAGACTGATCTTGTTACAAGCTTATGCGAGATTGACCCTGGCAAGTAAGTGTTGGTAAAAAATCAGGAGAGAATAAAAGGTATATTAAACTGCTCAATATGGTATACTATTCGGTCGTATAGCCCTGCTGGACTAACATTGGCTTTAATTGGCCATATTTGGTCATTTTTGGCCAATTGTAGGCCATTTTTTATCCGTTACGCCTGAACTCTCTGCTCGTTTACGAACATATCCACAAATCTATTTTTGAGGAAAAACAATACCAATTTGAGTCCACCATGTTTTGAACACAACATTGCCACATTATGATACAACTTTACATTCTCTCCTATCACCAATACTAACTAATGCATAGCTTTCACCATATTCTTTAAGACACTGGAAACAGTGCTCTGTCGAAAGCTGAAAATCTGATTATACGATCTAACTCTAGAATAATCGCTCCACTGAAAGTTTTTCATCCGTGAACTCAGTACACATTGACGGTCACATTTAAATTCATTTTCCTCTCCTCATTCGATCCGCACCACTACATTGTAATGGAAGTAAAATTGGTTTCCTTCAAAACGCCGGTTATGCAACTCATACTACGTATATGGTGTATAAATCGCATGCTCATTCTTTTGAAGGAAATTTACGTGGCATCAAAAACTGACTGCAGCACATTGCACGGAGTGCAAGGAGAACTTTTCTCTGTTACGGTGTCTCAGAATTTCCGCTGACGTTTCATCCATTGTAATAAAAGCAAATGAATGTCATTTGCTGTAATTTTTGTAAATACTCTTTGTAATTAGAAGTATTTCTGCTAAAAAGAACTAAATTTTACGCAAATCCAATGCACAGTTCCTTTTAGCATAAATAAATTCAATATTCTGAGCGAAAAATTTCAGAAAATGTACTCAATAATTTCATCACTAATCATTACAATAAATGGGGACATTACAATAAATTTTCCAAGATTCAAAATGCCAATTCCAGAAAATCTAGACCAAGCATTTTAATCACAGTTTTCAACACATAAATTTTCAGATATGAAGCCAAGCATGAAAATAAAATTGTGTTTCCGGAGCTCCTAATTGAGACTGGAGGGGTTTATACATTCGTTTTGCAAGAGATTGACTCCAAACTTGTAAGTTTTTTTTCTTAATTTACTTATTATTATTATTTTTTCAAAATGAAATTACAACGCATTCATTCGATGAATTTTGGTGCCAAACTATCCGAAATGATGTCACTTCAACCGCTGCATTGAGGATTTTTACGATTACTGTAACACAAAAAAAGGAGAAAAATGTCGAACAGAATCTGAGTTATATTACGGCTTGCAATTTTCAATTTACAAAAATGCAGTCTTGAGTTAAAGGTACTCTAATTTTAATACCGCAAGTTGCAGCTCAAAATTTCAAGATTTCGGAAGATTTCATTTTTCGAACACTTTTGGAGGGGGGAAAAATGATTCCTATGCCTATTCAACTAATTTTAAATGATACAAAATGAAAACTAGGGGAGCGAGAAAGTAGAAGGTGCTCGTGCCTCTAAAAATCACTTTTAAGCGCTCAGCCCATAAGTATCACTTTTTAATTTCAACCTGTCTCTAGAATTCTAGGGCACTAGTGGCAATGCGTTCAAACGACGCACCAGCTCAATGACAAGATGACAGAGAGTGACCAAACATATTTAGAATCAATTAATTTTCTGTGACTTCTTCAATGCTTCTGATTGCAAAGCACCGAGGACGATAATCGTTCTTCTATAATATGTTTTTTTAGCGGTAGTGTAGTTTTCTCAAAATTGATAGTTGAAATTATGGTGAGCAAGCTCTTTCATCTCAACAGTGCTCATCTTCTTCGGGGAACTTATAAACGCGCATACATATAGAAAACAGACGAGCGCCTCTCTAATACGAAGATATTAGTGCTTTTCCGCGTCTGTTCTGCAATTACATGGAATTTCCATTCGCTTCCTATCGAGGTTTTTCGAAGCAAACGCTTCAACTAAGCTTCATGTATTTTGTAATTTCATTTACTATTCGGTGTGAAGCTCATTCTTTCCGTAGACGCAAATTAGAACCTACATTGCGCACTGGAATGACTGCACGCTGCGCTGTTCTGGAACAATAGGCGTCTGCTGACGTCATAGTAGAACCGCGATGGGCGCCTTGGAAACTGCGCGGCTGAAAGGCGGCGCACAGTGGATGAGTCAATTAGAGAGATCGGACATGAATTTTTAAAATAAAACTGTAAATCTTAATGTTTATATCGTCACATTTTAAATTTCAAGAGCCGATTAGAGAAGAAAATTTCACGGAAAAACCAATGGAACCACTTTTAGAGCCTCAAAGTTTTGTATGAATAGACTTACAAGCGTTCAAAGTCTTCAAATTTTGTCTGACCTCTCCTGTTGACTCGATCCACTGTGCGGCAGTGAGAGATGTTTAACGTAAGGGCTGACCCATAAACCGTGGTCTGATAGATGAGGGTCTTCTACGCCGAAGGTTTGCTGTATTTATTTGCACAAAGAAAAGGAGAATTTACATATGATAGTGTAAATGCAAAAGAGATGAAGAATACATTTTTTGCCACTACCATTGGGTTAAATCTGGCTTTGCAAAACGATTAATTAGGGGGGGGGGTTCTTTAAATGCAAGCTCTTCGTATTAAAAAACAGCATGTAAACAATTCAAAATTAAAGACAAAATTAGAGCACCAAAAATCGAATTAAATTTCGAACTTTGCGTATAGTTTAATCACATCAGTATTAACATGATTGTAATGTATTCGTGCACTTTGAACAAGAATTTTATACGCTATTAGTTCAATCTCATTCGTTGAATTCTCATTTTTTTCACTTTGTACTACAGATAGGCAGCCTACATACAGTTACCCCTCCAGCAGCAATACACATCCTATGGGCTGTACCCCAAGCAGTCGTCATCGCAATGGCTGAGATATTGTTTGTCATCTCCTACATATCATTCGCTTTCACTCAGGTGTGTGTTATTAATATGTGTGCACTAGACTAATAGGGAACAGTTGAACCGAGTTCATCAGAAAGGAACCATTCCACATTCAGTTGAAACTGAGGATAAGAGCTTTGAAGTTTTACTCCTACATAAACCTCGATGTAGAAAATAAATTTCAACCCCTCTTTTCCCAACTAATTTCTGTTTTTCGACTATCAGTTTTTGGCAGGAGATAATATACGACAAGTATAACTCGAAAACACTCTTAACTCAATTTTTTCGAAAATTTGGGTTGGTTCCTTTCTGATAAACTTGGTCCAGTTGACTTATGTTTGAATGTAATTTACTCATTCAGGTTTTTTGTCGGATGTTACATGAGATTTCTTTTTAATTTTTGCAGGCTCCTGAAAGAATGAAATCCATAATGACTTCAATTTTTCAAATGACGATCTCCTTTGGTGGTATGATTGTAGTCTTTGTGACGAAAACTAGGTTCTTCCACAGACAGGCAAGTTCATTATTAAAATTTTACGGAATAAAAATATTCATAGATGCATGACGCTCATTACAAAAAATTTCAGACTCCTTAGACTTCAACGCCTACATTCAAAATCTTAGTTTTAAAGGAAAGAAAACCGAAGTCCTCTTTTAATGTTGCAAAACATTCAGCTTACCTACTAGGTGGGTGATGAGCCTTGGATGACAACATGAGCCAAACAAATTTCCCAAACTTCGGTTTGTTTGCAAAACAAAACTCCCAATATGCTGTTCACTGAGAAGAAGCTATGGCTTATGAACCAGTTAGTGGTTCATACAGAACATCATTAATAGTTGTATATGAACTAATGATTATCGGTCTGTGAACCAAACTGTGGTGGCTCGCACCATAGTATGGTATATACATAATATACTAACTACGACCAAGGTAACCTAGGGACCTAGACTAAGGTATATGTACTATTACTATATGTTGCCTTCACTACTATTAGTGGTGTTTCACCACCACCACAGATTATTATATATTATATTTTATTATATGAACCACTGATTAGTTTATAAGCCAAAGATTTCTCTCCGTATTGATCATCCATCAACGGGGTAGGTCAATAGTCTAATATTGGATTTCCAAAAGTAAAAGCTTCCACCGTTGTCAAGAAGGAGGATCTCTTGTCTCTGGTTTCACGCATGCAATCAAAATTTCATCTCCGCGAAGCAAACCTGTGTTGACCGAAATATGTAATTTGAAAAATCGTGTCGAATGTTACAGACCTTCCAATTCTTGTTCTACGCTGGACTCATGTTTTTGGATATCGTTCTCCTTCTTATACTATCAGCTCGATACAAGTACAGAGAGACCGGAAACAATGCGCCGTCACAAAGTGATGTGTCACCGGAAATCAACGATAGAAACGTGCCCCGCGTAATTGCAAATGACGAAAGCGGAAGTATGCCAAAGGTACAACGAACCCAAAATCATGAGGACGAATTGCGGGGAGGAGGGGGCTTCCGAGACAGAGAAGCACCAGTGGAGGGAACCAGTGCTGAAGACACCGGAAACGTTGCATCTGAAACCGGAAACGTCACTTCTGAAACCGGAAACGTCACTTCTGAAACCGGAAACGTCACTTCTGAAACCGGAAACGTCACTTCTGAAACCGGAAACGGCGAAAGTGGGTCGGTTGAACTGGAAACCGGAAATACAACGGCGGAAATATGCTCAGGAGAGGACTACCAAGATAGGAAAGAACCTAAAGATGGAAGCAACATAAAATTCTTATTGCAAGGTCAAATTACGAACGAATTGAGAGGTCATTTCTGACGCTTTGAGGCTTCAGAATTAAAGGCCGCAGTTGTATTATGTGGCGAGGCTTAAATGGTCGATTATCGATAAATTCTCATTTAAAGCTGTGGTAAAGAATCAATTGGACGTATTTCTGTTAAACGGAACTAAGCGCCAATTTGAGTTCCTTTTGAGGATTTTAGAATCCCGGATAGCGCGTTCTGTCAAACGGAACTAAGCGCCATGGAAAAGCATTGCGAGCATAGGACGGAACGAGCATCGCGTTCCTCAACACCCGCCAATCCAAGCCCCCCTCCCCCTTCCTCCCTCGATGGCGCTTAGTTCCGTTTGATAGAAATAGGTCCAATTTTAAGGTGTTCGTTGCGAACTCCCGGTTTGTCGATTCATTCTCTTTAAATTTAAATGGCAGATCAATCGATATATCGCAAAGCATGCCATGTCGCTGGTTGTATTTCGGTTCAGATCACCGATTTCAGTTAGCTCGAGATTAAATTCTCCATGAGAGAAAAAAAAATGTACCTATCGAAGTGAAGTTAGTGGCGAGAAATAAAAGCATTAAAATAAGAGGAAAGATGTGATAAGGGCACAAAGAACATATCAGTTATACACTCCAATGTTAGTTCTTATTTTGAAAACGAATTAGATAAAATTTTGGAGAGGGGTGTATCCGAGAGGGCCAGATCAAGCCAAAGCAGGATTCATAAGTTAAAATTTTAAGATAAAACGTACGCCATGTATCAATATGAAAAGGGTAATATTTGGTGGCTTTGAGGCTGAACCAAAGTTTGAAGGAATTCTCAATAAACAAATGATTCAAGTTTCGTATAAGATGTGTTTTTCTTTGATTTTTTTCTTCCCCCGTATCTTTACTTATCAGTTTTTGAAAAAATAAAAGTAAGTGACCGTAATATTTTGATTCCTAACGAGGTTTGTTTTTATCTAGTTGTATTTAATTCAATATAAGTCGCATTCTTCAACAAAAATCACGCAATTGTGCGGGCTAATTTTTTTTCTTCTTTTTTTCTGACGTGATGCAACTTCATCTTCATTTGGTAAAAAAAATGGCTCCTTTTGAAACAATTATATGAATAAAACGAGCTGAAACCACTCCAAAATCCGTGATTAAAATCAAGATCTAAGTTTATTTCAACATAGGAGAATCCTGACACACGGATTTTAAATTAAGTCTTGAAAGAAATTCTTCCCAATAACTTGTGTTTCGCCCGTAAAGGTCATTAGCATCACGTGCCGATTGCTCAATCACTTTATCTTTTTATCGACAACCGCTTCTTACTATACTTTTCGCCGCATTTCCCATAAGTGGTCACCACTTGACATTTATTTAGGGAGCGTCGAAGATCTTGTCAATCATGCTCACCGGTTCGCAATAAGATGTTCAAGCTTAGGCGTAACTTAACACTTTATCGATTTTTCATCATTGCAAAGCTTCTCTCTTTCTATTTATTTACATTATTTTTCTTCCTCCTCCATCCTTCTCTTCCAACGAGAACCTCAATTATTTTTTTGCTAATATCTCTCTCATTAAATTTACCTCATTCTCTCTTCCTTGGACCCTCTTTCATGGGTCTTTTTCTACCTCTATCAGCAGTAAAGAGAAGTCTCCTTCTCCTCTCAGAGTCCCTTTACGTTGACGATTGACTCTTATCGGAGTTCACTTACTTTAGTGTTTAGTTTCTTTATTAAAGCACGTAGGTGTGCTTTTGACACGGGGGGCTTTATCGTGTGGCTGTGATTTCTGCACATCAGTATGAATGCCAAGTATGCGCAAGTGGAGACAAAGTCTGAGGTATTATTAATTATCTTTTGATGGATATACTTATTTTCTGTCTTGAAATTGATATTGCAAACTTTTCCGGAAGTAATTTTTAAAAGTTGAGAGGTTATTAGGTCATATTATACTATGTACAACAGAACATTATCATTTTTATATTTGTTTGTGATTTTTTAACATCATTGTTAAGCACGCACTGGAAGAAAAAAGTATCAGGAATTAGTATGTAGCTTTCAATTAGTTTTCTAAATTTTTGTGCCAAGATTTTTCTCGCAAACGTCCCTAGGCATGTCCCTTCAAAGTCCATGAAATCACTAGGCCGAAAGTGGTATGTGAATTCTCGAGTAGCAGGATTCAGCTTTGATCCCTTCCACTGGACCATATTTTTGCTTTTATAAGGGATTGTACAATTTTGCTGTTTTTGGCTAATGTACCTACAGTCATCACTTATCTTATTATGGAATTTCATGGAACACACGCAATAATTTGTAAAATGAGCAGAAATTACTACTTCCTTTTTTAAAAATGTGGTCCAACTGCAGGTATGTCAGGTTGCGGCGCTAGATTTGTACTCCATCGAGACTTGAAGGAAGTAAGAGGGGGAAAGGAATATTTAATTTTTTAATAGGATTTTTCCTATTTTTTTTTTGATTACCTACTTTTGTTGAGTTAAAAGTTTTAAAAAAAGAACCATCTTTTTCGTCAATATAAATATGAGCATTCATATGGACATATGTGGTTTCATCATAGAGACAGCTTCTTTTAGGGGTACTCCTTGCCCTTACCTTATTTTTGGACAATCGTTGTTAATAATCAAATGGAATAAGAACTTTGTTACCTGTCATGCCGTTTCCTAATAAAAAGGATGTTTTAATCCTTGGAATCTTTAATGTTAAGCCGTTTCCTACATTTTAAACTTCTGATATAAAATATCGCCAAAATCTTCGCATCTTCTCTTAGATGCTCTTTTTGTTTTTCATTTTTTTAACAAGATTCGGATCTTTTTTTTATTTTGTCCCATTATCGTTATCTAATCATCAGATAATCCTACTGGAAGCTGATCCAATTACATTCAACCACCCGTGAGTCAAAAAAATATTTGAGGGACAAATTGTTTTTATAATAAAAATAGTAAATGCTTGCACCGCTTCCATTTTGCATATGAATACAATGAGAGCCGTATTTTTTCGTCGCGATTTTTGGCGTCACCTCTTGGCTCAAGGAGGACATTGTTTTATTAATGTTTCCGAAGTAAAACCTTCGTTTGTTAAAAGGAAATTATGGCCTCTGTAAGACACCTTATTTTTACGCGTCCCAAAGAGTAGCAAAATGAATTTGTAGTCATTGAGGTAAGTCGCATTTCAAGCAGGAAAATGAGAATTAAAATCACACCGAACACAACTTTTGAGTCGATATTTTAGATGGAGAATAAATCAAAGCATCACTCAGTTCACACGTGCGCTCGCCACTCAAACTTAGTCGGAATTTTCCAAGTGAATCAGTCGTTTTCAAAAGGGAACAAGTCTATTGTTGCATGGGCCTTAGCTTCCATAAAAGAACATGCTAAATAAGTCTCAGCGAGGGAATGAACCTGTTCCCTTTCAAAAACAACTGATTCAAGTGTTTTAAAATTTGAGTGCCCATCACCGCCTGTTTCGTCGCGCGATGCGTGTCCAAAAATGCCTGCTCGTTACCGCTCAGCATCTTCACCTAATAAAACGCATTTACACTGAAAAAAAAATCTCGGTGTATTTACTAAGAAAAGGGTAAAATTACCGAGAATTCAGGGTTCTATTTGATCCCAGTTTTTTCTTGGTAAAATTACCATTTATGGAATTGGTAATTTTACCGAGAAATCTCGGTAAAATTATTGAACTTTCTCGGTAATTTTATTAGACCTTGGTAAAAACACCAATATTTTTTATCGACTGTGGTAGAATTACCGAGATAAAATGGCAAAGTTACCGGAAATTGATTACCAATAATAGTGGTATTCTTACCTGAAAAAAACAGTAAAAATGCCGGTTTTTAGGTAAGCTTACCATTCTGTCTTGGTAAAATTACCAATGATTGGTGAATATCCACCTGTTAATTTTTAGGTTGGTACTTTTTCTATTGTTAAAAATTAGTTACTAGCTAGTATTTAAGGCCAGAGTTAAAAAAATGCTTTTTAAAGATTTAATAGATCTAAAAGCCCTCTTGTACAATGATTATGTTATTTTGTGCAAAATAAAAAAAAAAAAATGATTGGTGAAAAAGTGAGATGGTAAAGGTACCAACGGACCTTGGTAAAAACGCCGAGAATTTTTTTTCAGTGTATGCTGAAAGGAACTATGTGCATAGCGTTTGCGTGCAACATGGTTCCTTTTAGCATAAACATGTACGATACATTGAGTAAACGGAGCAAAAAATCGCAGAGGATATGCGAACTACGAACAAAACTATGTACATTATGCGAGCCTCGTTGGATAAAGGACGCCGAACGGAAAACTGGCAACGCCGGAATGAGCCTACAACGAACCTATAATATGTGTCAGTGAACGTAAATAAGAAGACAATTAATTTGGCCCGGTTGTTAGCGCGTCTGACCCTAGGTCAATACTGCCGTGCTATGGAAAAACGCCGTATGAACATTCGAGAGTTGCCGAACTTCCCTAGAATAAATGACCATTTTTGAGCACAGTCGCGAATATTTTCTTTTGAAATTTTCAGATAACTTAGATCTAATTACGGAGAAAATTCCCTGAATAATTAAACGGAAGATATTCATGAATTTTCCTAAAAATTCGAATTTAATAAAAGGAAATTTGGCAACTGACGGAGGTTCATGCGGCGTTTTTCCTTAGCACGGCAGAAGAGGTCCCGGGATCGATTCCCGTTAGTGGCGCTAAATTTTCACGGAACTGACCAATGGATCTGCAGAGACAGATTCTGCTTGACCTTAATCCGTGAAAATTTGGAAAGCCTGGAGCATGGATACTCCTATTCCTATGATATCCAAGGACAATTAATCTCTTTATGGATGGCTGTAAGAAGAAGTAAACAAATTAAAACTTAAACATTGCCAGGAAAGGGTAGATACCATATATGAATGTATAAAAATGAAGATTAAATACAAATAAGCGTATCACAATACTTCAAATCGTCTTAAATGTGTTACTTCCATCAAAAATTTCTTCGTTATGAAGTGTCATCGTGTATCCTACCACCCCGAAATACACCATCGGGGATGCAAGCCATCGTTATATTTTCATTTAAATTATTTACCAACTCCTCTTTCGTTTGCATTTTGGCAGAAGCAGCTCAGCTATCCAAAATCAGTATTCTTCATCATCGGAAATGAATTTTGTGAAAGGTATTCAGCCTATGCTTTAGGAGGTAAGTTATCAAAAACTCTCATAAAGACGCTATAATTTTCGTTGCGTAAGTGAGGACCACAAATTGAGTTTTTAGCTCAACAGAATAATGATGTATAGTAGTAATTTTATCTATTGTTTAAAACTAGAGTAAGAAAACTAATTACTCTCAAAGTTAAAAATGACATCATTTTCATTTAATCACATTTTCAAAGAGCGGAAACGAGTAATCTTTGAATGCTGATATTTTAACACTAGTTTGATATCATAGATCACAACACTCCAAATTCAAAGTTAGATGCAGCAGAGACTGTAGTTTCCGATTCATTTTTCTGTAAAGTTTGAAGTAATAACAATATTTTCCCCCTTTTCGTATCTGTAAGTGTTGGTTACCATCTGCACTTGACATTTATGACTAATTGAGCTATCTACTTTTTTTTTACAGCTATTTTAGTACTGTACCTTCGAAATGCTTTACACTACACAGAGGATGAGGCAAGGCTCATTTTCCACACCCTCCTCTTTTTATGCTACTTCTTCCCGATCTTCGGCGCCATCTTGGCAGATTCGTACATCGGCAAATTCAAGTAAGCTAGACCCTGACTGATGTAATGGACCTCTTGACAAGGCACGAATTCAAGCATTCTGATACATGTATCATTTCAAAATTTCATATGAAGCACGATTTGTACAGTTAAATTACTGAAATCAACTTCTAATTAGGTTATTAAGGGATTTATTCAGTATTGGTTACCTACAAAAAATTTGAAATTCCCGCTCACGTGAAAAATAGGGATCTAATTTAATCAAATCGCGCATGGTTTGGGCGGGTTTCAATTAGCATAGTGTTTCTTCTTCGCCCTGCGTTTTCCGAAGTATGAACAACTTGCAGTAGCTGACACTGAGCCGAAGTGCCGATTTTTAGGTTGCCTAGTTCTCATCCTGCAAAGACTGATACGGTAACGTCTGAGCGTACAGTTTGACTCAAAGTAGATTACGGTTTTTTTTTATGAGCGAAAAATTTGAATTCATGCATCCAAAAATGTAATATCCATGTTAAGAGTTACATCTAGTAATTTCTGCTGTAAACATTTTGTTTTACGTGAAATTTTGATGAGGAAATATGTATCATAATGCTTAAATGCGCACCTTGTCTAGGGGTCCATTCACTGCACTTCGTTTTTGAAGAGAAAATAATTTAGAGTAAATACGTAATTATGAAAAAGCTGAAGAACGTGAGTCACTCTAATGTCAATGAGCTTAAACTATAACTATATTGCTCAAAGTGTGAATAAGTCTGATGTAGGTATACATACACAACGCTATCTGATTTCACTTCGAAGTTCGACATTCATCCAAGTTCAGAGTGACGGAAACCCTGCATCATCAGGGTGATACCTGCCATGAAAAAGTCCGATTTTTGGACCCAGCCACGGAAAAAATAGAAATAGGGGTTGGGTCCCAACTTGGACATTTTCAATCAATAGTGCCCCAATAATTTAGGATCTAACCGAAATGTTGCAGTACTACCCAAACTTGAGTTGCGGTACTACCGAATTAATTGGAAATGTCAATGAGTACTTTCCAATAAATTGGGGTGGTGCCACAATTTTAAAGCCCACACTATTGTTAAGTCCATTTCTTAAACGTCCACTAAGTTAAGTCCACAAATGTAAAGTCCACTAAAATCAAATTCAAGCGTCATATTTTAGTCCGTGTGTAAAATTATATTGACAATATCGAAATATTTGTAAAACCTTTTCCAAGCAATTAAGGCATCGATATGAATCTCAATGAGCCGTAGTTGTGATGAAAGAAACTATACAAAAATTAATGCAAGGGAAAAAACTAAGAAGCACGCAATTTTTTGTTTTTAACTTATTTGTACATTGACCTCCTTGAGTCAAATACTTCCAATTTTGAGCGTTTGGTTGCGCTTACACCATGCTGCAGCACAGTAAAAGCCCAAAACATAAAAGAATAAATTTGAATGCCTTGGAAATCATTAAATATGACACGGAACCACTATCATATTTACAAAAAAACACATTATATTTTCCGGTAGTACATATTTCTTTTTCGTCAGTTTAAAAGGGAATAATCAATGCAGAGAGTGCAAACATTTCAAAGTCATGAGTTGAAAAACGCTGACTCCGCGAGTTTAAATATTTGAGCCTAACACAGAGCGGATCGGCGTGTTAGCAGCGCAGAACGCGCACTGGCGCGTGTCACGCTGGTTGCCTGCCGCGCCGCAACGCTTTAAGCAACTATTTCGCGTCAGAGGCGTTGCACAATATCCTACAAGATTGAAGGCGCACGAAATAACTAGTTAAAGAGGACTTTCAATTTTGACTAAATGTTTAATTTGGCATTGGAGCGTTTCCTAGGCTCCCGCTTTGGTTTTCATCTTATCATATCCGCACAGTGTACACATGAACATATGTTTTTATCTGCTCTTAGAGTCTGTTCAAGTGAACAGAATCGTCTCCGTAGAGCACCCATGCCATATCCAAGAACATCTAACCACAAAACAAGCTCATGTGAAGTCCAAATTGCGCGTCTCAGGATAGGTCACACTTTTTTCACTCACAGTCATATCATATCCAAAGAAAACCAACCCATCTGCCACTTCTGCAATTCATCACCTCTAACCATCAAACACATACTTATGGACTGCTCTTCCCTCCGATATCTCCAATCACAGATCTACTCCCCTACAATCAACAGAAATACAAACCCTCTTACATGCGATGAACCCAATATTACCACCAAAATTCTAAAACTCTTCACCTCTCTTAATTTAAAAATCTAAATTTTTGTTTATACTCCCATTTTCAAAATTATCTGTAAAGACGTTAATAGCCTGAGACGCTGAATGTCTTAAAATTATAATAACTAACTAACTAACTAATCTTTCATGACTTGATTCATGAATGAAATGTTTTTAAGAATGAAGGTAGTAGTAGTAGTATGCATTTATTTTTGAGGTGGTTCCTGTCATTTAAATGAGAAGAAAAAAATGTGGACAAAACATGTCCACAATTTGGACAATTTTGGACATATTCATGGTTGGACATTAAATCATGTGGACTTAATAAAGACTGGACTTAAGTTTTAGTGGACATAAATAGCGGTAGACATTTATTTAATGGACGAAAGGTAGGTGGACATAAAGTCCTGGAAGCGACGAATTGTTTCATTCCTTTATGAGGGAAGAAAAATCGAAGACACAAGTCATGTACGCACCAGAATCATTTTCTTTACCAGAATTGATTTTGCTTACCATATTAACCTTTTCCTAATTGCTTTTTACCAACGTTTTTCCCTTAAAGTTCAAAATTGTAAGTGGATTCTGAAATGCTCCACGTCACAAGACCTTTTATCACAGAATGAAAAACATTATCATGAAAGATCAAGAATACCTCAGTTTTTAACTAATAAATTGGATTTCATTTCCGTTCTTTAACCAATACCCCCACCGAAATGCTTCAAAACTTGTGCTTGAGGCAACAGTGGTACCCGACCTCTTTAAAATCCTCAAAATATTTTTGTAAGGTAGGCACTTAGGCAGCCTTGAAATTTAATTATAACGCGAGTCTCTCCGAAACAAACTCAGATCACCACGTGTGATTTTCCAAGTGAGTTTCAAAGCTAGACTGTAGTATAAGTACCTACTCAAAAAAGTAAGCTCAAATAAACATACACTTGAAGAAATTTCAATGGCATGGAACCATTGGTGTTTTTAATAGTGCGGGGATTCATTTGGACGTATTTATGTTGGAGGAAACCAGAGACAGATGGGAAAGAAGAGGTGTGCTCGTTAGTTGACGACTATAATATTTAAGCATGATTATAGAGCTCCAGTATGAGCTCTGCCAACAGTGCTCTTGTCATATGCCCACGGCTCATGAGTTAGCGTGTTTTAGCGCTTAGTTCCTTTTGATTCAATGTAAATTCTTCTATCTCCATTTTCCCAAAAGCCATCGCGCCCACGTTCACATTGTTTCTAAAAGCGCTTACGAGCACGGCCATTTTTCCCACCTATCTCTACTTCCTTTAGAGGTGTCGTCAGCTAAGTTGACGGTTGTTTACTTTCGGTTTGCAAGCGCCAACGACGAATTTGGGCCTCTGAACAAAGCGGCGCTCGCTACTATCCACCTTGAAAACATCAGTCTCAAGATCGTATCGTAAAAAAACTACTTATCAGTTACGATTTGCGATTTTTTTGTGGTTGTGATTTCTGAGTGGCTAAAAATTAAAGTGTTACAAGGTTTGAAAGTATCCAAAAACTTATCTAAGCTTGTGTTCTTGCTTCTGAGAGAGTCAGATGTTTTCATGTGAATAGTAGTGACGCCAAACGCCTGCAAACCGAAATTAAACAACCGTCAACTTAGCTGACGACACCTCTAGCATGAATACATCTATTTGAAAGTTTAGGATATAAATATATCATACCAACTACCAGTATTCTAAAAAGTAGATTATCTAATGGAATTAAATTTCACAAAGAGGATAATCAACGTTCTTTAAAAGTTTAAATTGTACCTCCGATATCAATCACAATATTTTTTACAAAAGTGTAGGTATTGCACAGCTATTGGCAGAATATTATCAAATAAATAACTTATACAAATTTGCCGTTCTTACATTTGAAGGACGCATTTGGCCGGTTAAGTATTAAAGACATGGTAGATGATGTATCAAACGAGCTAAAAGCTTTTTGGATTTTTTCTCGTTCGATACATCACGTACCCTGTCTTTTCTGTTTCTTTTAACGAAGTATGAGGATATTGAAGAGGCCAGTCGATATAATATGAAGAATGACGTATCTGTCTTTTTTGCACTCACAACTATCGATGCTAAACTGAAATTTTCCATCAATTTTTAAAGTTTACTTAATGTTTGAAAAGATAATTATTTCACACGTACGGTTGACAGGGGACGCTCTCTAATTATATCTCGGCTCGTTTTAATTGTTACTGGCGTCATCGTGTTAGTTTTTTATTTGCTCACCCGCGAGTATTTACTCGCTGGTGAACAGATAAAGTAAAAAATGTCGAGGACCAATTGTCCGTATCACGCTACGCGAACTGAGCGTTTTCCATGAGAAATAGGTCAAGGGTCAATGTTCCCAAGCGGTGTAAAACCTGATTTTTGAGACAACCACGAAAATAAAAAGTTTAAAATAAAGCTGAAGCGTGTGCACGCTGATTTTTGTGATTTTTAAGAGATCAGCAGATATTTGATTAAGATGGTATACTCTAGAATGGTGTGAGGCGGTAACACTGTTATATGTTTATATAAACAACTAGAGGGCTACGGCCCCTATCCACCTCGCGGTAAACCCCCCCCCCCCCAAACACTTCGCGTCTCAAGCGTTATGTGCTACGTTATGCCTTGTGCCTATTAATAATAGAATAATCAATAATACAATACTCGCAGAAATTTTAAATAGAAAATAAAAAAAAATCAAAATTGCATCTTTCTCAAATATGTTCGGATCAATCATTATTTGTATGTACTCTATCGTGGGCTTACCTTGAGGGAAGGTAAAATGAGACGGATGAGGCTATCCGGTATTATTTCCACCGAATCATTATCGTCGGGTCGTTAAAATTTAGATTTCAACCATAATGGAAGTATCGAATATCTCGAAATCTCCCAGCTACTCCGCACCATCTTCAATTTCTCAGAACATGTTGTCGATTCACCATTCGGCGTATAGACCACCCTCTTCTTGATCGATGTAAAATTAAATTTCTGCTGTATCACTTGTCTGTGGTCTTCGCTGTACATGATTAAATAGTAAGGCTGTCTCAGAATTTATGGATTGAAGGGCAGGAATTATTTTCTGAAATTTGGACATATTTATGCTAAATGGAACTATGTACAAGTGGGAAGATGGGGTGTGCTCGTGCAAGCTGTATGAGAGACAATGTGGTCAGTGCATATAGTTCCTTTCGAGAAAATGGAAAAGCGGGATTTTCAATTAAATCAAAAGGAACTGAGCGCTAACTCGTGAGCCGTGGGCATGTAACAAGAGCGTTGTGAACAAGGCTCATGAGTTAAAGAGCCCCGCCACCGATCTCCCCGTCGTGTCCGGTTTCTTCGGTTGCCGCTGACGTCACTGGCGCTTTTAAATTCCCATTCATTCTTAAAGCCCGAGCACTAACGAGCACATCCCATCTTTTCAATTGCAAATAGTTTCATTTAGCATAAATACGTCCATTTGGTGGAACTCGATGTGTGAACTTATCTCTAGATGATTACTACAGTACTATACATCCATTGAGATGCAGCAGCGACGTGGGAAATTTCACATCCAAGAATTAAAATGCTGTCTCTCCACACTATTATGGAAGGTACATCGATGGCAAAACTACCAAACCACGTATCTCGTTTGCGGTGTTTAAGAATCTCCGTTCCCATTTTATTTTTCAAAAGAGGACAAATCGACATCATTCTTAAGAATTTGCCTAACACGGAGAAGAAAAATTCCGGAAGTTTTTAAGACTGGACATTCAGTAGTTCTCCATGAAAAATATGAAGTATGACAGAAAGTCTGCTACGTCACACACCGAGATACGTGCCTTGGTAGTTTCACCATCGACATGTGTATGCTATCGTACATTTTCTAAGAACCTATTTTGTTTCTAGGAGACTCATGAATCACTAAAAGAGAAAAATTGATTTCAGGACACTACTTTACATGTCAGCGGTTCATGGAGTGGGGAACATAACTATTGCGTTGGCGGCGACTGAGTGGTTATTCAATCCTAGGTGCGTATTCCCTCATAAATATTCAAAAGTCACACGACAAAATACTTAACTATGGTTAAATTGATGAAAAAAACAAGGCTAAATGACAAGAAAAGTACATTTAAATTAAGACTAAAATAGTTAAATATAAATAATAAAAAGTTCCTTACTTAATTCATTCTACAGATAAATTAAGTAAGGATAATTCGAGTTTTTAATTTTAGCGATTTCAGTCTTAAGTAATCACTTCTATTTATTACCACGAGTATTCATTCTTATGGAATTCAAATTCTCTGTCTTTGCCTGATGTATGTGCGATGATGAAACTGCAAAGAAACACATCTTAAATATTGTATTATTATGATATGTCCACGTATTTTATATTTATGAACAGTTTTTGTCAATAATGAGAGGATTTTCCTCATTGTTTTGGAATATAATTGATAAACGAACTGAAAGCACTTTTCTGATCTTACCTTCTGTTTCGAACAGAAAAGGAATTTTTGAACATTTTCATAGAGCTTGTATCTTCTTTAAAAAATTTTATTCAATAGTAAAATTCCATCTTACAAAGTTAAAATTCTTGATCAATTTTAGAGTAATAAAGAGGGTACTTTCTGCCCTGCGGAAATATGTAAGTGAAAAAAGTATCCTTTGAAGATGATCCTCCTGTTGACATAATGTCAGGCCGCCCCTCCGTCACCTCTGTTACCCTCTGCTACACCATTTCTTTAATTTTCTTTCCTTAGGCGGATCCAGACACTCCAAACTGGAGGGGCAGAAGGGGTGTTCGCGGGGAGTCTCTCAGAAATTTTAAAGCATCAAATATGCAGTTTGATCCAATTTCGTCATAAATGATCATCAAATATAAGCGTCCTTCCGTTTCCTTTCCTCCGTCCCTTCATAAATCTTCCTTTCTTCCCTTTCTCTTCCTCCTTTTTTCGAGTGAACGCCGGCTACACCCCCCTCCCCCTTCTCCTCTGGATCCGCCTATATTTCTTTCACACCATTGCGATCACTAAAAAAGTTTCTCTTTTTGCAGAGTAATATGCCTGACGGGGTTGTTTCTACTGGCTGTCGGGGTTGGCGGGATCAAACCATGCGTGGCCACGTTCGGGGGCGATCAATTCGTGATGCCGCAGCAAGCGCAGGAATTGAAGCGATTCTTCTCGATATTTTATTTCACCAACAATGTCGGCGGCCTCATCGCGGCGCTCACCAGCCCCATCTTGCGGCAGGACGTCAAATGTTTCGGCCAGTCAACCTGCTACCCCCTCGCATTTGGCATTCCGGCCTTCCTTATGGTCATCGCCCTTGGTAACAAAAATCACTTATTCATAACCATTGAATCGCATTCGCGTGGGGTTAAAACGTAAAGGAAGATTTTTTTATTCAAAATGATTGTTGATTTAGACACATCACAGCGTATTTTGAGAAAACATAACTTTAACGTTACTCAAATTTGAAAAATAATAGACATCTTTTTGATGACGGCGCAGAGATACAACTATTCGTGCTTAATGGATGTCCGCGTTGCGTCTGCAAAATTGAAGGCGCGAGGCGCGAACTTGATATGCCCCGCTTTTAATTCCTGCGCTGCCAATGAGGTGTATCTTAGATTCGGGAGAAAAGTTAAGAAAGAGGCCCGAATCCGTATATCTAATCTACGGCTGGGTTGTTCACGTAGACCTTGAGGCATACTACAAATGAAACAAATGGAAACAGGCAAAATGTCAAATTGGAGCAGGGAAAGTACGTTAGTATGCGCGTTGATGACAGTGCAGAGATACAACTATTCGTGCGTGATGGATGTCCGTGTTGCGTCTGCAAAACTGAAGGCGCTATGACGCGAGGAGTGAACTCGCATTGCCCCGCCTTACGATGCCGATGAGGTGTATTTCAGAATAGAAGGAAAGTTAAAAACGAGACCCGAATACGTCTCTCCCGCCTTCAGCTGTGGTGACGGTAGATTTTTTTCCTATTTTTTCAATTTGACGTCTGATTCTTTTTTTTAGGATGTATTCGTAAAAGTTAAAAAACAAGACCCGACTACGTCTGCCCCGTTTTTCAACTATGTTAGAATTGGATTTTTTTCCTTATTTTTAAATTTGACGTCTGATTCTTTTTTTAGATCGTATTTGTAGTCCTTTATCTAACGTTCGTATGTATCGGCCACCACACGAGAGCTACCAAGGCGAGAGACTATTTTTAGGAGGAGCCTCCGGCTGCAAAAACCTTGAGTGGATCCGGTTTTTTGTTAAAAATGTCATTTTCAATAAGAGGAACTGATGAAAATTGTCATTTTTTTTCAGTGTTATTCATTTGCGGGAAGCCGTGGTACAAAGTGCGCAAACCCGAAGGAAACATCCTCGCGGATTCTTTGAAATGCATTTTCGTGAGTAATTTTTTCCAGTTAGTTTTAGACATTTTGAAAACAATATGGAGTGATTAGTGAGTCCAGCTGATTGAAAGGTCCAATCAAATACACATCAAAGAATCGGAATTTTTTTCTTCTTCGAGCCCTCCGAAAAATAAAAGTTATAGTGCCTACATGCGTTCTCTTTTCTCTTTGAAAATAAAATACCTGCGGAAAATATGATACGTTGTAATCGACATGTGTGCCTCTCAACATTTATCATCGAAAAGTCTTAAGACAGAAATACTGAGCTGCCAACCGAAAAATCAGATCATATGAGAACTAAAAAACGCCATTACTCCGTTTAACCTGCGGAAAAATAAATATTGTTATTTAAGAGATAATATTTAAACGACATGCGAGCTGATTATTGAAATTGATAGACAAAGCTATAGACAAAGAATATATAGGGGGCATGAAGCGATCCTATTGGTTGAAATTTGTGGCTCTCATAGACTAAAGGAGAAAATGACTAACTAGCTAGCTGTCGGGTTACTCGTGAGTTGACGTTAATTAGTCTATTACCTACTGCCTTTGTCCATTGCAACCACCCGCTTCCACCAATAGGATCCCTCCATATCCCTTTTGTCATCTTTGTCTATAGCTTTGTCTATCAATTTCAATAATCGGCCCGCTGGCCTGATCCAAGATTTTTACGTCTAATCAGCTGGATTCAACTCGAAAACAGAGGTTTCTCACTGCAAAAAACAATATTTAACGGAAGGATTTTATCTAGTGAATTTTTTCTCTCACAGGGAAGAAAGAAGGGGGGGACGGGGACTAAGGCTGTAAATATGCATGTAATATGCAATATGCTTCAAAATGCAACTCAGTTTGTTTATTCATGGATGTTACAGTGCGCTTTGAGAAAGAAATTGTCTGCGAAAGACGACGACGCCAAAAAACCGTCTCATTGGCTCGAGTATGCTGAGGGCGAATTCAACCAACAGCTGATTAAAGACGTGAAGGAAGCGCTTGGAGTGATAGTCATGTATGTTCCGGTGGTAATATACATGGCCCTTGCCGACCAACAAGTAGGTCATTGTGATTACATGCCAATGTAGGTCATTCGACACTTATTTACTCCTTTCTTCTCCCGGGATTTCAATTCCTTGACAAGTTCTCAGAAAGTTGTGAAGCAAAACAACCAGAGAGAATATAGTCAGATTTGGCGGATCCAGCAAATTGGCAACATTATTTTCTCCATTTAAACATATGGAAATGTATCGATTCTTGGAGGGGCTAGAGTCCCTTTATACTGAGAGTCAAGACAATGTGAATCCATTTCTGATTGGTTCCCGTATTTTAGGCCTTCATAGTGTCACAAACGGGAATAAAGATTATAGATTGCAAAGTTTATAAACTGGAATGGACCGGGACATCGGGGGTAGGACAAGAAACAAATGGAATGAGAGAGGGAACGGAGATAGGAATTCGGGAATGAGTTGATCAAAGATTACAAAAACAGTCCAATTTGTGTAATCTTTATTCCCGTTTGTGACATCCATGAGCCGCGCTGTTTTATTAACTCTCTCTATGAAGGGACTCTAGTAGGGGCCAGGTGCTCTGACAAGAATCGATTATTTAATATAGGTTTAAACGGAGAGAATACAGTGTTGCCAAATTGCTGGATCCGCCTCTAATTCTCCTAATTAACTGTACCAGATTTTTCTCACGAAAAGGGAAAACAAGGAGAAGAAGATGAAGAAAAAGAAAACCCAGTGCATGTTATAATTTTATTCAATTTTATTGCTCCATTTCAAATTTTCATCTAAAAATCATAGAGACGAATGAGAGACAAATGTGATGAAGTTGTCAGATCGTTCTGTTTACTTTTTGAGTGCTGGGTGTGACCGATTCTTGCCTCGTTGTAGTGCGTGTTGCATATTCAAAAAATTGAGGCGCTTGGATTTTTTTTTCTGCTTGCAGTAATACGGATCTAAGTTGCTAGCTCAACGTTTATCAATTTATGATGTGAGCAAACAATCCAGTTATTTTATAATAATATAATTTGAAACAAACAAAAGTTAGCGTAGTATTTTTGAGAGAAACAGCATCCATACGTGTCTTATTTTCAGTGGCGTGGCGTGACTTTATCCGATAGGTGTTCGGTAGGAGTGTCAACCACCTAAGGGGGGGTCAGGGGGGGTTTACCCCCCCTCCATGAAAGGGGGGTCCGGGGGACCTCCCCCGGAAAATTTTTTAAAAAATGAAGCCGCAAGAACACAATTTTCATCCTTTCTGGTGGAACACAATTTTCATCCTTTTTGGTGAAAATTGTGGCAATAAATTGACGTTTTATTTTATTTTTTTTTTTTCACTGATCGTTTTCCTGCAATTTATTTATTTTAGTGAATTTTAGTTTCCCCCAAATTTATAGTTGTAATTTTGGTGAGAGAGTTCTTTCACCTCGACGGTGCTCATCTCCTACATAGGAAACTTAAAAACGCGCCGAAAAACGACACAGAAAAAAGCCGAGCACTTCTCGAATACGACAGTATTAGAACTTTCCCGCTTGTTTTTTTTGTTTTTTTTTTTTTTCATTTTTGTTTTATTTTTTAAATTTTTTTATAGCTTTTTTATTTTTTTAAGGAATATTTGATTTATTTTTTGATTAAATGAATGAAAAAAAATTGTTGAAAAAGTTTTTATTATAATTAAAATTTTCAAAAAGTATTTATTATTTATTCAGTATTCTTCTGAAACCATAATTCCAGCTTCTTGAAAGGGGAGAAGATCACGTTGAATTGCACAACACGCACCTGCGAGAATAAGTGGGAGACTGAGGAATGTGGAACTGAGAGATGCGGCCCGCGCGCTGCCCGCAAGCGAAGAGGAGAAGCGTAGGACGAATTGGCAGAGGGGAAATTCGGCCGTTCGCAGGGACCTGCGGACCACTGGTAAAGGAAACAGCTGGACTGATGAGCGACTCTCGTCTCTCGTTCTCTCCCTGTTCCCTTTTCTCTCTGCTATGTTCACTTCGCGAGCGCGGTCCGCACTTGTCGGCCGAACTCAATGCTCCCGCTCCGCTCTGTCCTCCGCGCCGGTGCCTCCCGCTCTCTCGTCTACCGACCCTTCTTCATCATTGCACCGAGGTTCTCTCTTCTCACCGAAGTGGGCAGCTCGCCCCGCCCGTTCCCCTCTCACTCTCATCCAGGATCGGTGGCCCCTCGCGGACCCCGCGTCTCAGGATTCTTTCTCTCCGCCACGCCGCATATCGCCGTCGGAAGAAAATCTCCCGATAATTATTTGCGGTCTACTATTCTGTATTGTTTCCCACATTGTTAGCCATAATTTATCAATTGTCTCAAAATATTTTAGGGTGTTCGGCGAACACTGCGAACCTATGGACGCCACGCCACTGCTTATTTTTGATGGTTTTTCAGGGCTCCAGCTGGATTTTTCAGGCATCTCAAATGGATGGTGTCGTATTCAACTGGTTCACTATCAAACCGGATCAGTTGGGTGTTTTGAACCCCCTCCTCTGCCTCATTTTCATTCCACTCTATGAAACCATGCTGTATCCTCTCTTAAAAAAAGTAGGCATAAAAAGGCCGCTGCAATACATCACCATCGGAGCAGCCTTGTGCGGTGTTGCATTTGTCATTGCAGCCATCGTAGAATACAAATTGGAGGTAATATAATTTCTTATCATAAAAAGGACCGTTTTCAGGGAAGAAAACCGATTTTTTTTTTAAAATAAAATGTAGTACTGCCCCTTACGGGGCATTAATTATATAGATGTTAACTTGAGCTTAAAGCTAATCTTAAAACTAATATTATAAGATTTTGTTTTTAGAAAACCGACTTATCTCACGATTTCTTTTCAGTGAAGATTTCCAAAATTTGACCACACTGCACATCGACGGGTTTAAAATTTTAGCTTCCGAAAAATCGGACTGAAAACAGGTGACAGACACTGAAGTTTGATGTAGGAGAGCGAAATGAAAAGTGAATTTTAAGAGACCGAAAGAAAGATGTAAATTTAAATTTAGACAAGGTAGAATTACAAAAGAGTCACACTTTCAGGGAGGTGCCATAAGGGCAAGAGTGGCACCTACGTACAAGTGCGGGTCAGATGATAAAGGACCATGAGAAAGGGGCAACAATAGCTTTTATAGACTTGATGACGTCACGAGTGGCGAGGCAGCAAGTTTATACGCTATTGGCTGGCTATACTCAGAGGAGATATCAGTTGTAAGTCTAGTCATTAATTTTATAGGTGATGGCTAGAGGATAAGAGTGGAAAAGAGAAATGTGGACGAAATCCAGCTATCCCTGATGACTAGATTGAATTTGAATGAATAATTTAGGATTTTAAGAAAAAGAAAGAAGGGTATCTTTGCGGTACTACGGTATACGCGACGGTAATCTTCGTTTTTACTTGCTTTGATTCATGCTGTACTTGACCGAGTCCGTTTACTGTGTTCTCAGTGTCGGTCGTGCAATAATGCAAATCGACGTCTCATTTTTATTTATTTTTTTCCCAGGTTGAAAACGAAATTGCAATCCATTTCAAAACGTCCCGGATTATTTATTTTTATTTTAATTTTTTTTACTTATCCTCTGCTTTTTTGCAGCCTTTCCCCAATCAGGTTGTTATTTTATAGTCTGTTTCTTGGATAGCATTCATCAAAAAGGAACCAGCGCAATTTCAGTGTTGTTAAAATGTTGCTTCTTCATAATTATTTAAAAAGTCTCCCGGAGTAACAAATGGTTTTGGCTTCCTACCAAAAAATTGTTAATTTTAAAAGGAAAATAATTGTGGAATAACTATCAATATTTTACACATACTAAGTATTCTTAAACCCTGGTAAAAATTGGCAGTAGAACCTGTGTTCCAAAATACCATAGACTTACAGCCGACTGTAAGATTTCCAATAGCTTTTATAGCCGGTTATAAAATTTCTTATAGCCTTTTAAAGCCGATGGTGGTTAAGCAACAGCCAGGCGATAAAGTTTATGCTAAACGTTACTAATTACGGATGCTAGGACTTTAGTGAGTTTTTGGACTAGGTACTGCTCTCTTTTTGGGCTGTAGTATCTTGATTTTTTTTTGCCAGGAAAGCTCCGTACTTTTGGTGGATGCCTGCCACTCCTAATATATTAGAGCGCCTTCAGTTTCGTATGATACTGTGCAATACCTCTGGTGTGAAATAGTTGCTTCAAGCGCCGTGGCACGCTGCGGCGCGCGGCGCCTACGAACCTAACAGGGATACTTCATGCGTTGCGCAATGCGTGAAGTATCCCTGTTAGGTTTGTAGGCGCCAGTGCGTTGCCGCTCCGCTTTGTGTTAGGCTCTAATATTTAATCTGGCGGAGTCACCGTACTATTCAACTCATGATTTTGAAATTTTTGCACATCCTGTGTGGATTTTCCTCGTTTTAATTGATGAAAAAAATATGTATTAAAGGAAAATATAGTGAGTGTTTTGTACATATTAAGGTGGTTCCGGATCAAACTTAATGATTTCCAAAGCACACGAATTTCTACACAATTTCTCATAGCCTTTTATAATCGATGGCGAAAAAACAACATCCAGGCGAGAAAGTGTAAAGCCCGGCGATAGGAACTTTAGCCCGGCCGCATAATTTTTTATCGCTTCGTATAGCCCGGCCTCATGATTTTCTCCGCATTCTACAGCCAGCCATATGATTTTCTGTAGCCTTCATTAGCCGGCTATAAGAATTCCTCTGGTATTTTGAAACGCAGCTCTTATCGCCAATTTTTACCAGGGAAAGAATTGGAGATGTTGTATGCACGATTTTGAACACTCTGTAATCGTGCTGGTTCCTTTTTGCAAAATGCGATCCACTTTCTTCATTGCAACCATCCACTTATACCCATACTGCCGTGCTAAGGAAGAACGCCGTATGAACATTCGAGAGTTGCCTTTGATAAAATGCTCATTTTTAAGGAGAGTCATGAATATATTTTTTCTTAAAATTCTCAGGAACTTCAGATCAAAATACGAAAAAAATTCCCTGAAAAATTGGAAGAAGAATATTCGTAAGTTTACCAGGGAATTTGTATTTTATCGAAGGAAATTTGGCAACGCCTGAAGGTTCATACGGCGTTTTTCCTTAGTACGGCAGCATAGGATCGCTCCATTTTCCTTTGTCTTCTTTGTCTATAGCTTAGTCCATCAATTTCAATAATCATCCGGCAGCGGGCTGATTATTGGAACTGATTGAAAAAGCTATAGACAAAGACGACAAAAAAGATTTGGAGGGATCCTATTGGTGGCAATGGACATAGGAGGTAGGTAATGGACTAACTAACGGCAACCCACGAGAGATCCGACAGTTAGTCTATCATTTTCCCCCTTAGTCTATGAGAACCACCCATTTCAACCAATAGGATTGCATTATACCCCCTATGTCTTCTTTGTCTATAGCTTTGTCTATCAATTTCAATAATCGGCCCGCTCGTATCTTCATTTGTTTCAGCCCTCCTACGCGGTGCTTCCTGTGCCTGGTTCGGGTCAGCTAAGGATTTTCAACGGCCTCCCGTGTCAAATTGAGTTAGATCCTCCAATCAGTGGTCAGTCCACAATCCCTCCGCTGGGAGCGCTGCAAGTTATCGACGTTGAAGTCAATAACGGGACGAACGGAATTTTGAAGGAGAGACTTAGGATCAACGCTGAAGCTCATTGCTCCAACGTGACCATAGGGTCCACAAGCTGGACGGAGGAGATAGCTGTTTATGAAGCACAGGTCAGAATCAGTGGCGTGGCGTGCTTTGCGATATATCGATTGATCGCCCATTTAAACCTATGGAAAAGTATCGATAAACAGGGTGTGCGCAGCGAACCCCCTCATAATCGATTATTTATCACAGCTTCAAATGGGAAAACAACGATAAATCGCAAAGCAAGCCACGGCACTGGTCAGTATCATTGGCGGATCCAGCAAATTGGCAACCTTATTTTTCTCCATTTAAACCAATGGAAATGTGTCGATTCTTAGAGGAATCAGGTGCTCCGACAATAATAGATTATTAACATAGGTTTAAACGGGGGGGGGGGGTTGGTGTCCATAGGATCAGATGTTGCCAAATGGAGAATTTACACGCAAATTTTTTATCGCTTCGTCTCGTGCTTTTTTTCTGATATGGAACATAGTATAAAAATAGATTTAAAAGTGAGAAAATGTACCGTCTGGTGACGTCATCCGGCGGCATTTCCCATTTAAACACACGTATTTTAGCAGATTAGATCATTTTGTATAATCATCTCTAAAAATTTGATCATCTAATATTGATCATCTTCTCTAAAAATTGTTCAATTCATGAACCAAGGGCATCCTCGTGATCAGTTCACTCAGTAGTTTCGGCGTAAACACAAAATTCATCAAATTTCAGACACCTGCAAATTCTCTATTGCTGGATCCGCCTCAGGTCAGAATTCACTTTCACGATGCTAAAAAGGCGAATAGAGGTGCTCTATTGGCGTAAATACACTGTTGAATGTCGAGGAGTGAAATTCAGAGCCGGAGTCTATGTGGAGTGCATTTTGCAAAAGAGAACCAATAGCATTTCAATGTTGCTAGGATTGTGCAACTTACATTCTTCGCAATGAAATTACTAAAATCATCCAAAAAATTAAATTTACAAAGGTAATTTGCGTCTTGATTTGATAGTCTATTGGGAGTAAATATAAAACTTGTTTTTATCCAAGGCCGGATTAAGGGGGTGGCGGTGGCCACATTGGCCGCAGCCCATGGCGGCAAATCTAGAGGGCGGCAATTTTTGCAATTTTTTAAATGTAGGTATAAAAAAATATCGGATTTAGAAAAAAATTACAAACGAGAAAATGCGACAAAATCTCTCATTTCCTGAGAGCGTAGTAATTTTTAATTTTGTCGTTTTCAGTGATACAAGAGACAGCACCTTCAATTAGTCGAGTTATTGCTCGAGTTATTGCTGTTATCGAGAAACCAAACACGCAATTTGGCCTGGAACGGCGAGGCGCAAAGAGCAATGATGACGAGGACTTGAGGTGAAAAGGAGAAGCCATCGGCGCGGCGATCGGCATGTAACACATATCAGCGCATACAAGACTACACGAATACTTCACGCATTGCATCAAACACAGTGCGGTCATTGCGGGCAGCGTGAAACGGATAGCGCCTACAAGAATGCATAAATACTTTATGTATTGCGCCAAAGACAGTGCGGTCAGCGTGAAACGCATGGCGCCTACAAGACTGCGTGAATACTTCACGCATTGCGCCAAACACGGTGCGGTCTGCGCGGCGCGGTGGCGGAAGTTAAAATCATTAAACCACATTCATGTTTGTCCTTTCATAATTTTTTCGTTCATTTCTCATGAATAGAAGGCCTTGTCCACACAGAGATAGGTTTACAAAACTTAACTTTTGCTAGTAGTGTTGACAGGGCATCCCCCAAAAATGTGGTCAACAAGAGTAAACGCGTCTTATGCACCCCTCCCCCGCTGGCACGTTCACTTAATGGTTTTTATTGATGCTTCAATACGAGTGAGAAGGGGGCGGCAAAATACAGGCGGCCCATGGGCGGCAAGTAAGTAAATCCGGCCCTGCTTTTATCCTAACTTTTAATTTGAAAATGTGTCGTTTTACAACTGAAAAGGAAATTAAATATTTTTTCAGAGCACATCATATGCAATAACTCTTCTGAACGACCAGTTGACTTTACTACGAGTCCCTGGACATGATGACGTCAGTAAGGCTCTGAGCAATGCGCCTAGGGTAAGGTGAGTTATTTCATATCTACTTCTTGAGTAGTGGTCGAGTTAAGGTTGCCAAAGTGTAGACCAATAACGAAACTAATTACAATTGAAATGAATTAATTATATAAATTATTGATCGATTCCTTGTCGTTCAACGATCTCTTATAGTTACAGTTGACGAATCGCTCATCCTACATCAATCTTGTGTGATTTTCCTCCACTCAGATACAAAACATTGTATTGAGAATAGCGTGGAAAAATTAAATGCTCCTAACACCGGTAAGATGAATTGGAACTATTTTGATGTTTGAATAATGTAATTTCACGTCAGAGTTTGTTCAACGATTTTAACAATTACTTTACAATACTTTAACGATTTTTTTCTACATAATATAAATAATTTACCGAAGGCTATTTATACATACTTCATGAGAATATTTTAAAGTGTCCACAAAGATCGCTTTTGGACTACCCTGTAAAAACAGAAATGTCGACAAAAGTCTGAAAATCTGTAGTGAAGGTACCTCACGGAAAAAAATGAAGTTGCTGATTTCACAATATTGTGGTTAAAAAAGTGTCTGATTCGTTTCAGTGTAGATTTAATACTTTAAAAATGCTACTTTAACCACCCCCGTGGTTTAATTAGCTATCCACTATTGTAAAATGTACCTTTGAAACATGTCGAGCATATGTTTCTTCAATTTAATTGTTAAATCAGCAGTCCATTTTTTCCATGCTTCACAACAACGAACGTATTATTTGAATCGAGGAATGCGAAAAGGGCGGAAGTCCAACAAGTCAATTTTTCAGGAGAAGCAAAAAACTTCCTGTACCACAAACAATTTCAATAAAAAACAAGTTGGTTTTTGCAATCGCTAGCGATAGCAATATTCGTCATGGGAACTTTAGCTTCTGGAATATGAAAATTTTAAGGTACAGTTCGTTTGCAGTATCTTCAAAATTGAAGGGGCTATGTAATTTTGTGTCAACATCTCTTTTTTAACATTTTTAATTTTTTCTTCTTTGCATACAAGAAAGCTGTTATTTACCAATTATTTATTTTCGTTGGATTATACATGGTTTTCGGAAGTTAACGCATTTAACTTTCAGTTTCGCTTTTTCGGCGTAAAGTATGATATTTTTACTCTACACATACGCCCGAATACGCATCATAAGTGACCTATGTGCCTCCTAAGTTGCCATTTTTTCATTCAAATAGATGTAACTGAAATGTTCGATGTGCACTATACTACTTTCATGTCATTGCTTTATTTATTTTTTGAAAAAAGAAAATACCATCATTAATTTGGGCGAACAGAGAAAATATACATCAATATTTGGGTCAACATCTCCCTGATTATATTACGGATGAATATATTAGTATTTCTGTATCAAAAAACTTAACTTTTGTCTTCAGAGATACACTGATTCTAGTCCAAGGCAATTTGTTTTATTGAAAAGACAAAAAAAAAAAAAAAAAAAAACAACTGAAATGTTAGACATACTATTTTCATGTCTTTCTATTTGTATCAATAGGTACATCTTGCTTAACTTACGAACGTTGAATGCAAATAAACTTTATTGAAAAAAAGAAAATAACGTCATTAATTTGGGGAAACATGTAGCTGATTATATGAAGGAGGTATATTTCAGTATTTTTGTTTAAAATATTAACTCACGAGAAAATGTTCGTACATTTATCATCTAGCATTAATTATTTTTTGATGATTAGTCTAAAACATTCAATACAACCATTAAAAATTAACTTCCATCGCCGGGTATCGAACTCCCGATCACCTATTGCCCATACCTTATCAAAAAAAGGGGCGCCTCAGTCAACTAGGCTATCACGGATCCGCGGTATCCTGAGAAAAAATAGCATTTAAAAGACTCGGACGATGAGCGGGACTTATCACAAGAGTTGTCCTTGAGCGATTCGCGTCTTCGTAGCCTCTGAGATATGAGAGAAATGAGCTAAGCGCCTTTCTCTGTGAGACATTGTTTGCCTATGCTATCATGTGTCTCAAGGTTCATCTCAGCATGCATTTGCTATCGCGGCAGTAAGCTGAGGCAATATTTCTGTATTCATGGAATAAATCAATCAATCGAGTTCCAATTTTGGCTCATATATCCGTAACGGGTCCTCCAGAGCAGTTTTCCACCTTGCACAATAGTTATAATTTCTTTATTTCTATTTGTAAAATTTGAGGTGGGATATTGGCGGCTTCTCAAGAGCAACGAGGTAGGCGATCTTTTGCACCAACGAACAGAAAACTGATGGCGTAAAATAACCAATCAGAACCTCCCAAAAAAAAGAATTTGCCCAAAATCGGAACTTCGTGGTTCTGCGCAGATTTACCAGTCAGACACGACATCTCAAGGTGGAAAAAAACTCGTTGAAAGCGAATTTTAGAAATCAACACAACTTGACGTAGAGACATGATTGGCTAAAAAATACAACGGTTTTTGATACATCGGAAAATCAACCAAAAATCGAAGACTGGGCGAAACGCTCAAGGTCGCAGAGGCATAGGGAATCCCATAGCGATAGCATCGGAACGATTGTAATATCATGGGGAACTCTGTTCCCATGACAAAAAACGAAAAATATTTCCTATCGCGGATGACTTGTCCCGATTGTACTAATAAGAATTGAATCTCCTAAAAAATGTTGAACATGCTTTTTTGGGAATTTATTAGTTTTGATTTGGACTTCCGCCCTCTTAACACATGGACTTCCGCCCTCTTCGCAACTGGAGGAAAATTGATCGTAAAAAAGCTCGTTAGTAGAGCTCGCATGTATGAACATGATTTTAAAAAGAGTGTACTTTCATTGGTTTTCAGAGTAATTAGCAATCTGAACGGCTCTCTTACGCTAAAAAACCAATATGACAGCACTTTCCATTTTTCACTGAGCGGCCCGCAACATGTTCCTGTTTCAGAGGAGATTTATTCTGGCAGGTAAATCTAAGAATCAAAACCTTATCCTTCGATTTTAAACTACTGCATGCTTATTTAGATATGACATCACAGAAACGACACTATCGCAAGTAAAAACCATACGACGCACGCTCAGAATTTCAATACTAGGTTTTTTAATTTAAAATTTCATGGGAAAACTAAAAATGTCCAAAAATATTAGCTTGTGCGCAAAGAACTAACATCCCTGTATCATGACACTGTAATTTTAAAGAAAATCATTCGTTTCAAAATGGGCTCGAAGTCTGATACGCTCAAGTCCGATCACATATTGAAGAAATGCATATCGGTAAGTGAACAGGCACTGTAGATCATAATAATTGTTCTAAAAGCTGATGCTGGTGATTTTCCAGACACACTTATTCATACTCGATGGTCAATTCAATGAACCAAACCGAATCAATAAGATTAATCTGTTCAATATTGAACACATTTACCTATACATCAGGTTGGATTGGAATTAGTTGATTTTTTTTCTGTGAGCGATGGGTCAAAATTTAAAAAAGACTCACTTGCACGTCAAATTAATTTTGTTAATTAATTAATTAATTTAAATAAATTAATTTGACGCGCAAGTGAGTCTTTTAAGCGCTCAGCCAATAGGCATCGCTTTTTGATTTCGACTTGCCTCTGAGTACTAGTATACTAGTGCTAATGCGTTTAAATGGCGCACCAGCTCATCGATGTGTAGGCTTTTTTTTTGGAGGGGGGGTCCATTTTTAAAATAAATGAAGCTGTAAAAACTGTATTTTATGCTTTTAACGTAATGCGCAGGTTGTTTCAATCGTTTGTCTGTAAGAACATTTCTTAGCGGTAGAGTAATTCTTATCGAAATTGATCGTTGAACTCAAATGAAGCCTAAAAAAACGCGCCTGATGAGCTCAACGGTGACTATCATTTTCGGGAAACGAAAATACGCGTTTACGGTTTCCTTGGTAACCTTTGTTTGCTATCAGCTGATGTTTTATTTCCATTTCTCAGTCAAGTCGACGGAGTTTATACTTCCTTTCTTCACTAAATACACTTACTAACACCTGAGCGCTTTTCTAATACGACAGTATTAGAACTTTCCCGCTTGTTTTAAATTTGGAGCATTTCCTTGTGCGGCCTCCAAGGCGAAAAAGTTTTTCGATTTTTCGTTTTATTTTCGTTGAGCATTGGGTTTTGATTGACATGCTTTGATATGAACTTTGAACTATATGGATTTTTAGATCTGATATTTGTTTTTTTCCTTTTACCTCAAAGTTTTTTACACGAAACTCGAATGTCGAAACTTGTTTTTGTGTCAATAGTTCATATCTATTTTTTGCTGTCAAATATACTGTCGCTCTGGAGAGTTGAACGCATGATAAGAAAAAAAAACCTAACACCATAGGAGAATACAGTGGTGTATATTTTTCATTCAGAGAGTATACTAAAACACATCTAGCTATCATGCGTTCACTGGGAACTGGTCAGTTGCAGGTGGCATGATTATTTTTCAATCATTTACGGTCAATCTTCATAACTTTTATGTTGCATCTTTTTCTATTTTCAGCTATGTAGCAATTTTGGACAATGAAATAGTCATGAACGATCTTTTGATGGAGAGTGGTGGTGTCTATACGTTGGTACTGCAGAAAATTGGCCAACAAATCGTAAGTGCAAAGATATGATAATGTAACCTTCAGGCTACATGGGTGGAACTGGGGGGAGGGGGCGTTAATTTACTTGGCCCGTCCCAGAAAATGTGAGGGATTTTGCTAAGTAGGAGGCCTAACATATCTATCATCTTGGAAATCGTGATTCTGTTAATTCTTTGTGAAGAAAGTAGAAAACATAAATGATTCCTTTTGATTTCTTTAATGTTCTTAATTTCGTAGGCTATGTTTCTAACATTGAAATGAGCACATCAAAAGGGGGCATCAATGCGACTGTTAGCAGTGCAACAAAAATTTAGAGGCGTTAAGACACTGAAAATGTAAATGATTGGCACAAGCATAATTATGCTTTAAAGTTGCTACTAAGAGTTGTTTTTTTTTAAATCAAAATTCAAGCAGAATCTCTCTGCAAACAAGACTAAAATGCCCGGAGTAAGCAAAAGAGTACCTAGCTTAAATTTAGCAGGAAAAACCTCGATTCAATAAAAAATAGATATTTAAGTATTCAAAACTTATTAATTTCTTCATTACAGTGTAAATTGCAAATGAAATATCGAAAATGTCTTATTCATATTGTTCGAAAATTAAAGACGGCTCTTTAGGTTGATCGTTGATCGGCAACACACATCAGTCACACCGATGTCCCATTTTCATGGGCTCGACCAGATAGAGGAAAAAAGCTGACGGACTCTGTTGCATTCTCTTTTTGAACAATTCCTCTGTTTTCTAAAAAAAGCAAAATTCTCTCACTGTTGAAATAGGCTGGTAACTTACACATAATAACACCTCCTGCAACGTTACACATGCTCTGGACTTTCCCTCAGATTTTTGTCGTAACAATGGCTGAAATTTTCTTTGTTGTCACATACTTGTCATTTACTTTCACAGAGGTAAGTGGTTTTGAACGTATAACTCTCGACATCAATTCAATTTGAACTTTTAAAATGTTTTTAAAATTCGATCGATGAGAAAAAGTTAATCTGCACTTTTTTGTAAGTTTATGCACTTCACTTAATTAGTTAGTTAGATAGTTAGTTAGTTACTCTATTACGAAGATAAGGGTGAGAATAAGGAAGAAACAAGCAGTGAACTCCAACACAATGTGTTGATAAGGCGCGTCACTAACTCGCACATATCAACCCCTTTAGTTTTCATTTACAGAGATTTCAAAATAGGCAAACAGCATAAAAAGAGAATTCACGATCCAACACTGCGAGGTCAAAGACGCACCTTGACGAGACCGTGTATTGTGAAAGTAGAAAGCTATTCGATCGAATTTAAGTTTTTTGATCTGCCTCAAGCAAAATCTTATCAGATTCTTGAAGAAAAGTGCTACGGAATAATTTAAGCGAAGAAAGGAAAAATTCTGTCGAACTCCTAGAAGATAAAGTCGATTTAAAGGTATTTTGGGGCTAAAATACCCAAATCACCGGTAGTAAAAATCCCGTTATATTATTGAAAAGAAATTGACTCGATATAAATGCAATTGCATTAAATACGTCTTGATTTTGTTATTTTAAACGTCTTTCCATGCAAAGAAGTTCAACCATGTCGTTGCTTTATTCATTCATGAATTGAAAGTAAGCAATCTACATCCCGAAAATCTACTGATTTGCCGTAAAAAATTGCAGAAACTTGATATACCAGGTCGATGCACCCACTCGTTGAATTTACCAACCAATTTTGTGAGTGCAAATGTGTAAGAATCAATATGCTATAGTCATTTTGGGTGCATTTATTTTTCATGAAACAATAATAATTTCAATCCCGAAAAACCATCAATTTTCCGTATAAAATCGAAAAAATCAAAATATGTCAACTCCCCGACGTGAAAATTAGATTCTACGTATGTAAAATGTAAATACTTATGTATCGATATGCTGAACAGAACTATGTGTGGACAGTCAGAAGCCCGCGGCAACATTAATTCAACAGAAAAACTGTAAAAATTAGATAGGATTTTAGCCGCTTTGCCCGCCTCTCCTCGCTACTTACAACAAACCGTTCTTATACTCATCTCAAAATTTTTCTCAGAGCTTTGGGTTATTATCAGCTTCCATTTAAACTCCGGTTCGATGGCCGAATCGGCTGCCAAAAAAGCAAGCCACTGTTGAGGGGTTCTATGAGAAATTCGTGATATTATCGGCTCTCAGGAAATCACCCCATGGCTAAAATTGGTGGTATAAATGTTTAAGTGCTTAAAATAATCGTATTCAAGAAACTAAGGAATTAAACTATGGAGTCAATTTCTTTTTAATAATATAACGAATTTACTACCGGTGATTTAGCTATTATAGCCCCAGAATACTTTTAAAGCGCCTTTGCGTTCCAGAATCTCGACGGAATTTTTTTTTTTTTTTTTTTTGCTTAAACGATTCAAGAAACATTGTAGTTAAAAATATAAAGATTTTTCGATTTGGACGTATGAAAAATGTTTAACTCGTTCAGGCACACCGTGTATTGTATGGAGTACTGCTGTTATTCGACCGTTGTCTTCAGGTCAAAATTCTTACAAAGAAGCCCCTTGCAAGAGGCAAATTTTTTGTAATTTCTCCCAGTTTTTTCAGCGTTAGGTATATAAATGAATTGTTTGTCAAATTTTGAGGTCAATTATATTTAATTGTAATTTATACTTTCTTTTTTTCCCCTTCATTTTATTTTTCGTATCGAGGAGTCGAGGTTTTGTTGATTTCTTCGGATTTCGATTACTGTAACTTCTCTTCTATTCGGCCGATTTTTATGAATGAGGTCTCTTTTTATTTGTGTTTTAACGGAGAGTAAGGAAAAAATTGCTAAATACATGCGAAACAATTTTTTTTGAAAATTGGATGAATCCTAGCGTGACGGTGAAATGGTTAATGAAGCGTGAGTAATTGGGGTACGGGTATCGGCCGCGTTGGGACCCAAGGCCCATTGTTCTTCGTGACGCCGACGCAGTGATCAGGAGCGTGGGGACGAGAGGGCTTAGTGGACTCCTGTATGAGCCACGTTTAGCAAATGGTCTAATGAGTCTCGAGGCTCATCACAGATTGCACTTACCACTATCCTGGTGGCCCCGGCTATCAGAGCAAGGAGTACCAACTTTTGAAAAGGATAACAGTGTTGTGGAGATATGTCAAAGCAACGTTGTGAACAAAACGGAGTGAGTGAAATTCTCATTCAAGGAGTGCCGAACTGGTCAGCCATCCTCGAATCAGTTCGCTTGCTTCCGCTTATATATGCATATTTTAAATCAGCGCGCCCCATTCTAAGGTTTTTTTAAAAAAAACCAAGAAACGTAGACTCTTGGTATTCATTACACATAAACTAGCGAGCCCCAGAATGAGAAACAAATTTTAATCATTATTATTGACGGATTAGTAAACTTTTTACACGCTTTGGAAAATCTCAGAAGTTCGCGGTAGTCACTTTTCGGTAAGGAACTAGGGGACTCGGTTATTGTATCGAGGGGGGGGTCGAAACGATCGCAAAGGCGGTATACTACGTATACGCGCCAACTAGGATGTTTTGAATCAAGCTCTTTTCCCTGCGTTCATTTCTTTTAATACGCATGTCCTATTACATGCCATTGTCTCACCACAGTCTGCAAATCTACTCGTGCCAACGTTTACTTCACTGCGGGCATGTTTTTTTCAATTCTTCTAAATTTCACACGAATTATTAAAGATTTTCTTGATTTCACTCGAAAGGTAAAACGATTAATTATTCCTTATAGTATCAATTAAAGCTAGCCAAATATGAACAAACCTTTCAGCATTCTAAAATCTTAGTGAAACGAATATTAATTTTTGATTTTCATCATAAAAACAAAGTTGTAAAGACTAATAAGGCAGCCTGTGTATATGTTTACATAAATTTGCTCTATTGAAAGTTTACCTCCGATAGAAAAAGAAACCCGCGAACTTGTCTTTTTAAGCTGATAAATGATACCATTTTCCCCTTAGTACATATGTTAACAATGTGTAGAATGTTTTTTTCTCTTTTTTTCTGCTTAAAAGGCTCCTGAAAGCATGAAATCTTTGATGACCTCGGTACTGTACGTGTCTGACGCACTGGGCAACCTACTTGTGGTCATCATCTCGGAAATAAGCTTTTTCCGTATTCTCTCGCCGGTAATTTGACAAATTTTCATTAATTTCAGAAGATGGTTTAACATTTTCAACAAATATAAATCATCATAATTTTAAAGGCTGTGGATCGTCCAGTAACACGATACATGATAAGGAAGTAAAAAACACGTACCTCCGTCGCGTCGTAGGTCTCAAAATTGATTTTTTTGAAGGAGTACTAATGAAAATAACTCACTGAAATGTTGCGAGTGCTCTAGGATGAGTGAGCATTTTTTTAAAAACTTCATCAAAATCTGTTGGTTGCTTTTATTTAGAAAAAAGACGAGCGTAAATTGGCAACTTCGCAATCGAAATAGAGATTTTTCGATTGTAGTCATCGATGAGAGGTAAATGATCCAGGGTCAACTTTCAGATGTTACCTCTAGAGCTCAAACTTTTCTGGTCAAAAAAGCATTAATTGACGCAGAAACGAACGTAAAAAATGAATTATTTCGTAGAATAATTTTGCAGAGAGAGATTTTTATGCGTTAGCACTTATTTCACTTGTTCGTTTTGTTTTACAATAGGTAAAATTAACATGCTTCGAGAATTTAGTGGATCAGAAGAAAATGATGTCAAAGTAGTTTTGAAATTAAGACGAGAATCTCATGATAATTTCGAGACCTTTATGAGCTATATCGAGGCTGACACTGAAAAAAGGAAATTCCTTCAAGTTTTCATGCAGATAGACTAGTCTTGTAAGGAAGAATTTCATCACGCAAAACATGTCTATCTGCAAGATAGTTAAAAACCCTCAATTGTCGTTGACTCTTAAAGGCGTCTTGGGTGGATAGTGAGAGAGGAGAGAGGTCTTTCTCAGTTCGATGGTGTTTTCAATCCCCAATTATGCATGCATTCCCAACAGAGATACGTCATCATTTCTAAACAACACTGGAAAAAAAAACACATTGGATCTAGAGTCCAGACTCTTAAAAACATCGACAAGAAAAAATACTCTTGATTCAATCAGATTTAAGCTTAAATCAAGAACCAAGCCTCTTCATTTGAGCGGATTTCCTTTTGATTCAGGCTTAAATCTGATTGAATCAAGAGTCTTTTTTCTTGTCAATGTTTTCAAAAGTCTGGACTCTAGATCCAATGTGTTTTTTTTTCAGTGCATTGTATTTATGACTTTTTCAAAAGCCCCCTATGTAATTTTAATCTTTTGGTTTAAAAGTGTAACGATCTACCAGCGTCTTCATTATCAGAATCATTTTCATTTATCGGAATTTTTATATTTGCAGGCTCAACAATTCTTGTTCTACGCTGGACTTATGGTTTTGAATATCGCCATTCTAATCGCTTTGGCCGTTCCCTACAAGTACAGGAAGTACAAGTCCGTGGAGAAATTACCCGATTACACTTTGGTGGACGCAAAGAAAGACATTCCGATGAAGGAGTGGAAGAATTCCACACGAAATTCAAAAGAAACGATCGGAAAAGGCAACTCAGAGAATGGAAGTCACAAATCAATCTCATTCAGGGATCAGAATGGGGAAAACGGTGGCTCTGGAAGTGTGAGGTTCACTTGGTCCAAAGAGTCAGAAGTAGGGAATGGAAAAGTTCTGGGCAATAGCCGGAATTCAGTCGCTGAAACTGAAAGGTCGAAAGTTGAAACCATAGCGCCGAAATTGTCATGCGAGGAAAACTTTAGGGATGGGAAACAAGAGGGTAGAAGAGAATGGCTGTGATTTGAAAGAAAGAGCGATATTTTCTACATTGAAAATATAAGATTATACTTTTCCCATTGCTGAATAACAGTGTGGGGATGCACCATAAGTTTTAAACACAATGAATGGGAATGAAAAAGAAGAGAAGAAAAAAGAGAAAATAGTTACAAATCGTCGTCTCCTGGACGAAGGAACGTAACACCATTCCAAGGTAACAAAATTAACTCAAACAATTCAATTTTTAACAAGAATGAGCCTATGCAATTTTTGTCGAAATTTTTCTGATTCTTGCATCGGATCTGGAGGAAAATCAGTGAAATATTCAGTCAGAATAAAGATGATGCATGTGTGAGGGATTTGCGATTTGACCATTTATGCTCATGTAAAAGTTCGCGAAAAACACGATGGTGCCACTGGTTTTTTCTGAAATCAAATCCCAAGCTCAAAAAAGCTCTCCAGTTGAGGTCAAAATGCAGGGGATAACCCACCCTACCCTGAGAGTCCACCTCTGCATCAAAACAAACTCTCCATGTGAAGATAGGGAGCAAATACATTAGCAAGGTTGCCGTGTTTTCAGTTTTGGAGTCCCCAAATAAAGTGGCAACCCTGCTAATTTATTTGCTCCCTATCTATACATGGAGAGTTTGTTTTGATGCAGAGGTGGACTCTCAGGATAGCGTGGAATATCCCCTCCATTTTGGCCTCAGCTTGAGAGCTTTGTTTGAGCTTGGTATATGATTTCAGAGAAAACCAGTGGCACCATCGTGTTTCTCGCGAACTTTTACATAAGAATCAATGGTCAAATCGCAACTCCCTCACACATGCAACAACTCCATTGTTGAAGATTCTCCTGATAAAAATATAATTTGCAAGGGGAAATTTGACAACACTGTAATGAATTTACGTTCTTTCGTGGGGGAGCGACGAAATGTCTACATTTACACTCTAATTAGATTAGACATACCGATGGCCCAAAGTAGCGAATGAATACTTTTTGCAAAGCAACGTTCCAAAAGTTTCACACAAATTGGACTTTTTGTGATCGATACCAGTGAGCAACATCAATAAAGACGCATAGATTACAAACCATACCTGCAATTCACCATATCATTATACGAGCGTACATTTCCAGTCTCAAATAAGAATAGAGTTTATAGATCATATTTCGCGACGCTGTTAAAACGGCAATGCAATTTTTTTAATCGTACCTTTCGTTACAAATTTTTGAAATTTCCGAAATTTTTAAATACAAATTGCTAAGAATCGTAGATGAAGTTAGTGTCCTGTCGATAAATTTTGTCAACCGTTTACAGAAAGAAGAGGAAAATATTTGACACTGACACTTATCATTTTTGGTGGAGTCCTCACCAAATTTTATGACCACCTTTTGGAGTAACAATTTCATCCGCCACCCTAATTATCACATTTAGCTTCGACGGGATAATGGATATGGCAGATTTCTTCTCGTGCTCTTAAAGACGGTCATACCCCTTGACGTGGACTTTATGAGGAGTCAAGTGGAATCAGATCTGAGGTATTGCATTATAGCAAGACATACCAAAACGCTTTAAAAATAAAACTGTGTTGTAAAAATGACTGTTGGCTTATCTTTAATCATTTGCTAAACTCCACTTGTACATGGTACCTGTCCCTTTCCTGATTTTTTTCTCAATAGTGAGACTGCGGTCTTGGTGCTTCTTCAATTTCTAAAAATATTGAGTGCCAATTGAATGCGCAACTGACCCAATTCCAAGACACAAGGATTGATTTCCATTGAACATGGAGAAATGTACATGAATATTTTAAGTGTGTCTTAGAGAGTAAAAGAGTGAAATTAGTGAAAGTGGAAAGAGTGTAATGTGATTGAATTTCCATTTCAAACCACGAAAAACTATTTTTTCAATTTTTTAAAAATAAAAATATTTAGGTATCTAAAGTTATCCTGTTTTCTTGCTTTCCCAGCCAAACTGTTCAGGAATGCCTGAACCTTCCATCAACCTAAGCACATCCATTTTTTTAAGATCGAGTGCTCAGGAGTGTTGATTGGAGCCATACAATAAGGGCAAGTCCCATGACCCGTAACGAGTTGCGTGTTATCGATTCAATTAATCTCATAAAAAGAGGATATTGGTGAAAGAGTGTGACGCGATCGCTACTTTTTTAGCGCCCCCTACGCTTCACTTCATTAAAGTTAAAATTTGATCGTTGATTATGACACCCAATCAAAACTTCGAATCTTTTTCGTACATCGCAAATTAAAGGCACGACACTGGTTCTCTCACCCTATTATTACACTGTTTTTACATAGAACAAAAAGCGCCCCGATTTGAGCTATAAATATAGCCCACTTTTTGCTACTTGTTTACCCCTGTTTTTTCTCGATGTAGGATGTGAACAATAGGGTATTTTCGAAAAGATCTAACGTCATGGCGTACTCTTGCGACACACTTTCTTTACTTTCCTACTACTTGAGTCCTACGGGAAAAACTTGTTTGTTCTATAGAGACCTCTTTAATGACGATGTAGCTACGTGGTAAAGTAGAGACCAAGTGCAATGCATTGCGTGTCCTAATTTTTTCGCCTGTTTTCCTTCATTTCCCTTTTTTTAACGAGCTGAAGAATTTCAAAGAGTGTTCCATAATGTAGGAACTGTCATGAACAATCTGTACAGGGTGATCCAGACCACGCCTATTTTTTTCTCGAAAATGGTTCTAGATAGAGCTTTGAAACCAAGATCCTCACCCCCGAGGAATTGGAGGAATTTGACCCCGAGGAATTCAAAGAGAATATTCTAAGCCGTGGAGGCCCAAGGTGGAGATCTAAAGGGCTGAGGGACCCCCTACAGATTTCGATTTTTGGGGTTTCCCAGGGAGTAGTGCGAAGGAGTAAGGACAGGTGCGCGGACAACACATCGATGACGGAATGTCTTGAAACCAAATGTCAATATGCTATTTTCGACGCCCTTAATTACATGCAGCTATCCTTTCATTCTGAGCGTGATCTCTCCTTGAATTTCCGGCCGATCTGAAATCCATCTCGGTTGCCTTCAGTCTTGCTCTATGTCTTGTCTAGGGATCGTTTCTTCAACTGCTATACCTCCTAAAATACGCCATACGCCTAAAGTTAACTTTGTTTTTTTTTTTCATAATCTACTAATTTTTCGGGAAACTAAATTTTCAAAAATTTTTTCTTTAGGTGCTGAAAACGTGTATTTAAGGAAAATAATAGATTATGGAAAAAATAAGGTCATTTTTAGCCTCAGCACCGGAGGTTAGGTGGAAGTATCCCTATCAGACACCCGAGAGATTTAATTTCCCTATGCCTTTCAGATTACGAAAAAAAAGAAGCAGATAAGTTTTCCAAGGAGTCGTACATGGACGGATTATGCCATCGGACCAGAAAAACCTCAGAAACAGTGAGGAAAATTGTTCATGGCATGCGAACCCATTAAATTTTGGCCGCTGAACCCGAAAGTGACCAAATCTTCTACAGACTTTCACCTTTTTAATTAATTTAGGTGCCATTTATCTCGTACCACGTATCTCCATTAGAATGTTTCAATTTTTTCGCCACTATTTCATTACATCCAAGGGAAACCTACTCACTTTATAGCTGAAAATTTATGTAAAATAATCTGCTAATGGCGAAAAAAAATCAAGCAAATTTTCAAGAAATTAAGTGGACTAGTTTCCGAAGAAAAAATAAGCATGAAAGGAAATGTGCAACGTTGTAAATGGAGATACATGGTTCCGAATTTTGACCATCGCAACCTCAATATTTCAGAAAAATGGTGGATGAAGGAAAAAACTGAAGTTATTCTCGGCAGTGGCGTGGCGTGCTCTGCGATATTTCTAAATTTCCCCATTTGAAGCTGCGGAGTAAATAATCGATTATCAAGGTATCCTGTTTATCAATCATTTTCCATGGGTTTAAATGGCCGATCAATCGATATATCGCAAAGCGCGCCACGCCACTGAATTCTCGGGCTCAGGGCTGGAAATCACATAGGGATTATACATCAAAACCCCACCCTAGTAAAATGAATTGTCTCGGAGGACAATTTTGGTCCTCGGAAGACGACCTTATTCTCTGCCAAAGACAACGACGTCCTTCAAAGATGATTCGAAGACGAAATTTTCCTCAGAGGAAAATGCATTTTCATTATCAGGGCATAGCGTTTTGAAGAACATACACGCTGTGCGACGCCTAATCGCCACCAAACTCGGCCCTCCCACAATCCATGAGGGCGTTGACACTCCCTCATCTCATTGAAAGCCCCCTGTCGCCATCCTCACTCTGGGCGTCCACTTCGTCTCCTCCCAGGAGGAACCAAATCAAGCATTTTCTTTGGTAGCCTCTCTTCCGTCATCCTATTAACATGACCGTGCTAGCCAAGCTGTTTGATCATGACGTCCAACAGACATGACGTTTTGAAGAACATTCTTTTTTCTAGTGACCTTCTTACTTCAAAACTGTGTTTTGCCGTTTGAAGTTTTCTGAGGAAGACCTTTTCTATTTTTAATCGGGAGAAGTCAATTTTTTACAAATTTTTCCGACGCTCAGCACACTCGCAATAGGAGGCGTGCGAGACTATATTCAGCCTCAATCTTTTTGCCCTACTTTTTTAGAGCGGTAACTAACGTAATGAATTCTCGTAGGTCGTGAAAAACATATTTTTCCCGTGATTTGGGGCAAAGGTATATAAAAGAGCACAAGAAAATGAGCCCATTATCAGTTCTCCTCCATTGTAGGAAGTGTCTTCTACGGGAGTGCAAGTTTTGATCGTGTTCTTGTGGTCAATTTCTTCTAGACAGAGGATAAAGAATTAAACAGCACGATTTTGTCATTCTGATGTTTAGTTCAACATTTACGATTTGCGGTGCAGGAGAATAGGTCATATTTCGTTAGTGTGACTAATATTAAAGACTATAAACATGAGTAAACCCATTGTGCATATTTCTACATTTACTTTGTTCCATACTATACTTGTGGTTTCGGCCATTCTTCAATTAATTCAGCCCTTGTATGCGGCCCCTGCTGAAATGCAACCTTCAGACCTGAGCAATCAAATCTTCACTATCAGCCAAAAATTGGTAAGAAAATATTTACATTTTAGTTTTGCAATGTCAGAACAGAAGACTTTTACTATTCGCC